AAAAATAAAAAAAAAAAATAAAAAATAAGAAAAAACCAGTATCACTTGTTTGCGTGTATGGATGATGTTGTTGGTGTTGGTGTTTTTTTTTTCAGACGAAGGCCGGCTTCCGGGTTCCTTTGTTGGTGGGGTTTTTACGCGTCTTCTTCCATCCGGGGGGGGGGGGTGGGGGGGGGCAATCCATCCCCCCCCAACCCTCCCCCCCCCCCCCCCCGGCCCGCGTACGATATATATGGGCAGGAAAACTGAAGATCCGCCTGTCTAGCGCATGCAATGCCTGCATTGCATGCGCTAGACAGGCGGATCTTCAGTGCGCATCCTACGCTCTCTCTCTGTCTCTCTGTCTCTGTCTCTCTTTCTCTCTTTTGCATAGATCTGGAATACTTGTGCAGCTACTCTTTCTTTCTCTCCTCCCTCTACGTGTATCATCCTGCTCCTTCTTCCCTCCCCCGCGTGGCTCTAGAAAGGCCCTTTCTTCTGCGGCACGGTGCGGTGTCTTCGCCAGCCGTTCTACGGCTCCCTTACGCTAGGCCTCATGGGTTTTTTCGCTGAGAGAGAAAGCCTTTCATACCTGCAGTCTCCGATGGCGTCATCTTCTCCGTCTTGAGGCGCAGTGTATAGCAGCGATCCTCAGTCTGCAGTGCCGCATGACTATGTCCACCAAGGGCCGGAAGTGTCACGCGACACTCCACCGGCTGCCCATGACTTCTGCGGCGTGGCAGCAGCAGCGTCACGTCTGAAGTCTGCGAAAAAGCGCAAAAACGGAGACGCTGAGGAGGCCTCATACACAGTAAATCGCGAAGGCGCAGCTACTCGCTACACAGAGACGGGCAGCCTGCCAGGCAGGCAGCTTGCTTGAGGTGCGCCCCCCCCCTCCCCAAAGATCGATGGCGAGACTATTTTTTCGCGAGCAGCTCGCTCCGTGCGAAAGGGCAACCTTAAAGGTTTCACGCAAAAGAGCATCTGCGTATACGCGTCTTTGTGTCTAGCCGAGAGGCATCAGCGCAAGCCGCGAGGGCAGCTATTACTGGCACATAGCACCGCAAAAGCTCGAGGCAGCGAAGGCTGCTGGCATCCACGAGCGGCCCATCAAAGGGGGGCACAGGACGGAAACGTGGGAAAGCATACCGTGGAATCTCCAAGGAGACTCTGCCCGTCGAACTCTGGAAAAAATCGCCCTTCATGAACAGGACGAATGCCTAGACCAGTGCGATCAATAAAGGCGCGCGGCGCAGCGATGACAGCCACCAGCTGCTTGGGGGAGATTATGTACGAGAGGAAGGGCAAGACTTCGGCCGTGTCGTGCAGCACTTCCAACTCTACAGAGGCGAGGTGGCGTGAAGGCAGCAACAGCCGACTCACAACCTCGTCTTGCTGAGCAGGGCAAAAAGCGACGTCATGCGAAGAAATCAGAGAACCCTGCTGCTGGTGTTGCAGCCTCAAGAGTTGTGCGTGCAAAAGAAACACAGAAAGAGGCACCTCTTAGACAGCCAAATAAACATGGGAGCGAAGAACTGCAGGAGGAGGAGGACGAGGCGCGGTTGTTGTTGTTATTAGTGGGGGGGGCAGCTGTGCTGCTCTCGCGAGCAGCAAAAACAAGGGCCGCTTCTTCTGCAGGCATACCTGTGTGCTGAGCAAATCGGAGATTACAGAGGACCACTCCGCGCCTTCCAGCATTGCGAAGCGCATGCGAAATCGCAGAGGCCTATTGGGGGGCACCTCGTAGACGAGAAACGTCGAGTGTCTCCTGAGCGTTGCACTGAGCTGGGGCCTGTGCTGCAGCGCATGCAGCTGCTGCAGGGCAGCAGCCATGTTGCTGCTGCGATTGACATCGGCGACTGCCATCAGCTGCTTGCGGCTCGCCTTTCCGTCGGAGGTCGAAGAAGGCGCAATGTTTATGTCCAGCTCTGTCATGGTCGCATTGACGAGGGTGAGGGAGGGGAAGATCGTCACTCTCTTCAGTTCTTTTTCAGCCGGCAACGCACCCTTCCGGCCTTCTATGTGAACCAGGAAATAAAGATTCCGAACCGTTTGTAAGGCTGCAGCGGCGAATGCCGCTGCGCCTTCTTTCTGAGCCTCCACTTGCGCTGCTGAGGAGACAGTCCCTCGCCGACAGCTGGGGGGGAGGTATGCGCTTTGACGGCAGCGCAGACCTTCCATCCTTTGCCGCGTGTCTATGAGATCACACCATCCGGCAATGCAGCTCATGTCGGGGGGCAGGATGAGCGGATCAGCCTGCAGGAAAGAAGATAACACACACTGCGCTGCAACAACAAAAATGCGCGCAAAAAAAAGCACACCCAGATGAGGAGGCCACCGTAAGAACGGCGTGCAGCAGCGCTTCTCGGGGAGCAGCTTATGTTTCTCTCTTTACGACTAAGTGCATGCAAGATGCGAGTCAAACATCACACAGCGTATATATATATCTACCTCCTACTATGTGCATGCAAAATGCGAGTCAAACATCACACAGCGTATATATATATATCTACCTTTCACTATGTGCATGCAAAATGCGAGTCAAACATCACACAGCGTATATATATATCTACCTCCTACTATGTGCATGCAAAATGCGAGTCAAACATCACACAGCATGTATATACATATATCTACCTCCTTCTATGTGCATGCAAAATGCGAGTCAAACATCACACAGCATGTATATACATATATCTACCTCCTTCTATGTGCATGCAAAATGCGAGTCAAACATCACATAGCATATATATATATCTACCTCCTACTAAGTGCATGCAAGATGCGAGTCAAACATCACATAGCATATATATATATATCTACCTCCTACCTCCGCATCTGAAGCTGCAGCCTCCGAATCCGCCTCCCCCGACCGCATGCTGCCGCCGTCTGCTGCCGCTGCTGCTGCTGCTGCTGCAGTGGCGGCTGCTTCTTCAGCGAACGCAGCAGGCCTAAAGCAGACATTGCACCATCCATTCCCAAGGATGGCCCTTTGGGGGACTGACAGAACGTGCTGGTTCGGAAGGAGGAAGGTGTATGTCAGCCTGTCTATCTGCTCTTTTGGGGTGAGGGGTCTCAGTGCAAGCGTTTCTTGGCGAGTTGCCGCTGCAGCCTCCTGCGGATGCCAAACAGAAGGGGTGCGTCTGGAGCGTGGAGAGTGGGAGACTCCTCTGCCACTCAAGGCTTCCGTTTGCGCTCGCCTCAAGGCAAGCTTCCCCCATCGTTTAGAGGGTGCGGCTGCCACGGGGGCAGCTGCATCCAGGAGGAGCAGCCGCATCTGCTCCTTCTGCTGCATTATCTCCTGTTGCTGAGCCTCCCTCCAGCGCTGCTCCCTCTCCAGCATCCACTGGGGAACGACCTCTAGATCTGGATGCAAGGAGCAGGGCGGTTCTGCGGAGAGATGGCCTTCTTTAGATGCTGTCTGCGCAGAAGGGCCGCCTACGGCATCAGCGGGAGCGGAGGCTCCCGAAGCAGCCGGGAGAAGCAGAGGGTTCAGATCGGCATCTAGGAAGCAAATCTCGAGAGGCATGCCGCTGCTGTTATGCACCATCACGGTGGTTGACAGCAGCAACAGCTTGAAGGACGGATGCGGACTCAACACTTGGCAGATCGTCTCGCTCTGCATCTCGACGTGCGAAAGAGGCAGAGGGGCAGCGAAGCTGCTGCTGATCGAGGGTTCATCACTCCTCTCCATGGCAATCGCAGACTCCCCCCTTGTCGTCCAGGATCGACGACGCGCATGCGACTCCAAGAATTCTCGATGCCCTAAGAAACGGAGAACTCATTCAGAAAATACAACAACAACCCATGACCACAGACCAGACCTGCATTACAGATAGACAGACAGACACAGACAGACAGAGAGAGACAGAGACGCCACACGAAAATCGCCCTTCTCGAGACACACGCGCCAGCACCAGCAGTCAGTCGGCTGGCACAGGGGTGCAGGGAAATTTAGAGAGCAGCTTCACGTTTGCGCAGCTCTTTGAAAGGCACAAGGAAAAGCCTTCGCCGACACCCACAGCATGCAACGCATCACTGACCAAGAGCAACAGGAGGCCTGAGGCAGGAGCCGCAAGGAAGAAAACTCGCTCTCACCCGAAACAGATGTCGCGAGGCACAAGGAGCTTTGCCCAGAATGAGGCAGCGGCTCCAGCGAGTCTGTCTGTGCTGACGTCTTGGAGTCTCCGCCGCTTTCGCCTCCTTGCACGACCACAGGCTGCTGAGCTGTCGAAGTTTGCGCGCTGGACGAGGGAGAAGGCTCACTGAGCCGGAGTTTTGGGTGTAACCGAGGAGGGTGAGCTCCAGATGCAGCAGCCGCAGTCGGAGCAGCATCAGCATGAGCAGCAGCAGGAGGAAGAAGCGCTTGCGCTCCACCGAGCGGTGCTGAGTGCCTCGCAGAGTCGGCAAATAGGCCTGACGATGGCCGTCTGTCTCTTGTCGTTAAGGAGCTCCGGAGCCGCTGCAGCTGCCGCGCTGCGAATTTGCTGCCGCTGCTGCTGCGAGCAGCTTGACGCGACGCTGCTTTGCCACTGCTGCTGCTGCTGCTCAAGAATTTCTCGGCAAGCGACGCTGCAGAGGAGGAGACGACGGGTCGCATACTCCCCGAGGCGGCTGCTGCTGCGGCGGAGGCAGCAGCAGAGCCACTGCCCCCCCCCCCGATGCGGCTGTCTCCTCCTGCGTACTTGACTGGCGGGAGCAACGCGACGCAGCAGCTGCGCATGCCGTCCACTGCCACTGCCTTGGTGCCTCTGGGAAAGGGCCCAATGGCTGCTGGGGAAGGATCAATCGTTTCCTCAGACATGCGGCTATAAGCCTTTGCCACTGAAGCGTCGGAAAACTCCGAAACACGCCGCAGCTGCTGCCGCTGCGACTGCAGCTGCTCTTGCGCTTCTGACGGCTTTTTGAAGGAGGGCTCCCCACACTTTTCGCGTGTCGCTACGGCCTCGCCAGAGGCTGCATGCTGCTCGGAGATGCTGCCTGCTGCAGTGCCTGCTGCAGTGGCTGCTGCAGTGCCTGCTGCAGTGGCTGGTGTGCGCAGGAACTGCGGCAGACGCCCCTCCCCGCCGTGGAAGACGGCAACGCTGCGCGAGCGGATCTTCCTCTTCATTTCTTCTGTGCACAAGAAGATCTTCAACGTGGCTGCAGCGTCTTGAGTTGCGCAAATGCTCCTGCTGATGGCGGGGAGATGCGCCGAGGGAAACGATTCTTTGATGCCCATCACAGCGTCTATTGGAGGGCAGTTCGTGATGTAGAGACGCTGGCGACTGCGATGGCGGCGTGAGGCTTCCGCCGTGCGGCTCTGCATGAGGCCTTCCAGGGGGAGTGGAGACGAGGCTCCAGGAAGCAGCAGGATTAAGCTGCTCACGGATTGTGCTCCGCCGCAGTTCTGACTGCTGCTGCTGCTGCACTTTTCCCCACCCCCCGTGCCAGCGCTGCACGGCGAGCTGCTCGCGGAGATGCTGCCTCGCCTACGAGTAGTCTCCGGAGCAAGCATCTTGTGCAGAGTAAAGGCATACAAGCATTCGCCAGTCAGGTTCAAGTAGCGAAAGGCCGCTTCCGTGTGCCTCCTCCCTGGCAGTGCTGTGGCTGCTGTCTCCGCGGTGTCTCTTGCCTCTTTGGCTGCCTTTCCCGATGCCTTGCTCTCACTGTCGAGCGCAGGGAGGCTTGCTGCTGGAGAGAAAGCCTCTTGACGCGACGCCTCCATGGGAACGCTCGACGTGCTTGTCTGCTGCATACCGCCATCACCAGGAGGGGGAAAGGGGGGAAAAGGCCCCCCTTGCTGCTGCTGCTGCTGCTGCTGCTGCCTTCCTGAGGGAGGTGCAGCAGCAGCGGCGGCTGCTGCTGCACCTCCCTCGTGGTATCGACGCGTCGAAGACAGCGGCAGTGCATGCACTGCCGCTGCTGCTGCCGCAGTCGCAGCAGCACGTGAAGAAGGTGCCCTCGGAGAGATCCTGCTGAAGCTGCTAAGGCTCACAGTCCGAGCTATCATCCCGCCTTCCCCACTGCCATCGCTGTGTCTGTCGTCAGGAGCGTGGCTGCCCCCCCCCCCCGCCCCACTGTCTGTGAGATGAGCCAAGAGATAGGGCAGAAACCACGCAAAAAGCTCGCACAGCTGCGGCGTGCAGTTCAGCCAGAAAGGCGACTGGCTGTGCAGCATCAGCGTCTTCGCTGCTCTAAAGGTACCCCACGGATCTTCCCCAGGGGGCCCCTCGAGGGCCCCCCTCTGAGCCTGCTGGCGCTGCAGCAGCTGCTGCCTCTCTTCGGCGTAGTCGCGCTTGTAGACTGCCGTGACGTCCAGCTTTTCGACGAACGGCTCCCAGCATCCAGCCTTCGCATTCAGATAATCCAGTCCGCACGAAAAGTCTCGGAGAGCAGCCTGAAACTGCGTGGGCAACATGTCGAATACAAGAGCTCCCGCAGCCAGCCGCAGCTGCAGAAGCGGCAACACTGAAGAGCGCAAGTCATCAAGAAGCAGCAGGTGAGCACCTTCCAGGCACACGGATACCTTCGCAGTTCGCTCCACCAAAGGCAGCGGCAGAGGCTGCTGCTGCTGCTGCTGCTCTGGCGACTGCTGCTGCTGCTGGCTCCAAGCCTCGGGGTAGCGAATGGGAGGCGGCTGCTCAAGAGGGCACACGCTAGGACCGTCAGAGTGAAGACTCTGAGCGGCTGCCAAGAGGAGAGCCATGTCTCTGCTAGAAACGCGCAGATAAAAAACTACAGACAACACACACACACACAAACAGGCAAGCACAATTACACCCACGGGCGCATCACGACGCGTATCAATATGTTATACACATGCATATATATAAAAATACACACATTTACATACATGGACTTCCATACACACTGATTTACATACACGGACTTCCATGCACACAGATTTACATTCACAGTTCTCCCTACATACTCACTTACACACATGAACTTCCATCCATACATACATACATACATGTACATCCGCATTTACATACACACCAGCAGAATAAAGAGGCGGAAACAGCAGCAGCGCCGCTTACGTGGGATGTCAAAGGCCAAATCAATGAAGGTTAGGACGCGTCTGTGGGCGTATGACTCCGTCCCCTCTCCGCTGCTACAATCGTTACCCTCCGACTTTGATAAGGGGCCTGTAGTATGCGTCTGCTGCATCTGCTGCTGCATCTGCTGCTGCATCTGCTGCTGCGTCTGCTGCATCTGCTGCTGCTGCTGCATCTGCTGCTGCTGCTGCAGGTGGGACGCACCAGCCACCGACGGCGTTCGTCTGCCTCCTCCTGGACTGTGCGCGACAGCGCTGGATGGCAGTCTTGCTGCTGCTGCAGAAAACGCTTGCTGCATGCGCTGCATTGCAGCAGGCACTCTCCCGTGGTTGTGGGTGCTGCCGTGCGAGGCAGCACTGGCAGGAGACGCAGCATCTGAAGAACGCAGTCCACTGCGGAGGAGCTGCTGCTTCGAGTGGTGAAGTCTCGATGGCGTAGCCTCATCAGGGAGCTGTAAAGGTGGAGATGTCGATCGGTAAACGCCGTTTCCTTCCAAATGAAAGTGTTCACACAGCAACACGGCGCTCGCTAAGTCCATACGTGGAGCCAGCCTTTCCAGAGAGGAGCCTTCCCCTATAGTGAGTTGCTGCAGCTGTTGCTGCAGCTGTTGCTGCAGCACCCATTCGTGTCTCAGTTGCTGCGATCGTCCTTCTTTGTGCCGACCTCTGGCACCCCTCGAGGTCGCCTTCTTCGACGCCTTGTGGCTTATCGCATCGCCAGCACTGGAGGCTACAGCCGCAAACTCGCGGCTGCAGCTGCTGCTGCTGCTGCTGCTGCTGTTGCTGCTGTTGCTGCTGTTGCTGCTGCTGCTGCTGCTGAGGCCTTTTCCCCACCGAATGCCTGTCCTGGTGCGTGGCGTCTTCGTCACCTTTGACGCTCGCGATTCTTCTGGCACGGAGAGCGACATCCGACGCACAGCCTCCTCCTCGCCGACCTCCAAAGAAGGCGTTCTGAGCATATCTGCATGCGGCTGTGCCTTCTGGTGAGCTGCGGGGAGGGAAGTCGCTTCGAGTCGGCATATTTTGCTGCCGAGAACTTGCACTTGCTCGAACAAAAGCTCATCACCCTTCATGCACAGCCGAACTACAAAGTCGCTGCTCCAAACGATGACAGGCGCAGAGGGAGACTGCAAATCGGAATACACCACAAATCGACCTCTTTTGATGCTGACGGAGACTCGAAACGCCCGTTCTCTAAAAGCCTCTCCTGATAAAAGCAACACCACGAGATCTGCCTTCGTGCTGTGTTCAACGGAAGAACGTTGGCTTTCTTCATCTTCCAAGACGTTACTGCGTCCATCCCGTCTCTGCTGCGGCTCGTCCTCGCCGCGTTTTCGCTGCTGCTGCTGCTGCTGTGCCTCGCGCTCCTCCGCCTCCTTTGACCTTTGCTCTGCTTCTGTGAGGACCGTCGGAAGGGGTTTGGGGTAAGAACGCATGGAACTGAAAGCCCAAGACGAAGTAAAATAACTGAGGATATCCATGAAAGCAACGAGCAGCAGATACACTGTAACGCCTGAGAACTGGAAATCCATGTACGACTCCCGAAGAGATGATCCAAACTCGAAAACTATGGCTGGACGGATCTTCTTCTTCCGTGAGTGCTTTGATTTTCTCTCGCCGTCAGAGCATGCGTCCCCACTGACCTCTTCCTCGTCTCTGCTCAACAGGGCTTCTTCACCGGCATCAGCTTCTTCGCTGTCGTCGCTGTCTTCGCTGTCGTCGCTGTCTCTCTGCTCAGGCTCGGAGTCAGAAACGTTCCAGCTGCTCCCACTGCTGCTGCTCCTACTGCTGCTGCTCCTACTGCTGCTGCTCCCACTGCTGCTGCTCCTACTGCTGCTGCTTCTGCTAAAGTTGTCTCCTCCCCCTCCAACTGTGGACGCTTCATCCACGGGGGCCGTGCAGTGGGCGACTCTTTTGAAGTAGTTGGCGCTGCCTTTTCGCAGATCGTCGATGCTGAAAGTCTCCGCACTGAGGCGCAACTTGTAGCAGGAAACAAGACGGGAGACAGACGCAGTCACACGCGCAGTGATGGGGTGGAGGGAGAGCAGTGCCAGAGGAGTTCGTAGCCCAAAGGAGGCCTTAAGCGTCAATTGCGAGATCTTGATGAAACACTCGACGGCTAGAGGGGGAATTTCCTCCAGCTCCCTTCGCAAGGCTTCCCCATCCATTCGCTGGATACCCCTGTTTGCGCTGCCGTTGCTTCCATTGCTGAAGCTCCTGCAGCTGCCGTCTTCGAGGGCACAAGCCACCCTCCCCCCCTTCGGCACAACCTCGACAGGCGTATGATACCCCTGAAATCCAATGTTCTCATTCAAAACGTCAAAGATGAGGGTGAGCTGGTGTCTCGACAAATGCAGCAGCCACGGAGTCGTCTCTGCTTCGACACGCAACGTGGCTGGACTGCTGCGCAGCAGCACACACGCATCAACGTTTCCCAAAAGGCAGCCTCCGGCAGCTGGCTCTTGCCCGTTGTCGCTTGCGCTTATCTGCATGCCACGCATCTCCAGATGCAAGTCTGAAAAGACAAAATCAGGCTCTGAAAGCCTCCTTCCGCGCATGGCCTTCTTGGAGGCACCATAGCACGCCTCGCCGAAGCCGTCGTCGCAGCTGCTCTCGCTGCCTGCCGAGCACGGCACGACACCCATGCCTTCCTGAGGATCGGGAGGAGCAGAACTAGGAGCAGAAAAAGCAGAAAAAGCAGAAGCACGAGGAGAACGATGACCACCACTACATGACTGGCTCTCTGCAGACGAAGAGAAGAGCGCAACGTCAGAGGTCTTCCGCCGTCGCTGTTTTTCCATCATCCCTGACACGTAGGCATTCCGAATCTTCAAGTTGCCGAGATCAAACACGATGAAACGTCCTAAGTGGTCTACATTGACTTCCATTTCTGCAGTGGGTGTGGTTGTTGCCGCCGCTGTTTTAGCTGCTGCCGGCCCCCCCGCGTTAGCGCGTCGACTGCGCCTGTTGGGCATTCGATAGCCGGGAGGCACAACGTATCCGGGGATGGCTTCTTTGTCTTCGGCGAGGATGAAGAGGGGGGACTGGATATTGAGGGCAAAGAGGCAGTAGGAAGACGTTGCTGCTTCTTTGACGGCTCTGTACGACTTGGAAATGACGACGTCGAAGATGCCGTCTCTGAGATACTCGAGAGTGCGCGAGACGTCTTGTTGGCGATACACAAAGCAGACTTGCTCGAGCTGCCCCTCCAGGCAGACGGAGTAGGGCAGAGGGGCCCCTGTCAGCGGGTGGGGGCCCCCGTACTCACGGAATTTGGCTGTGAACAAAGCGGGGGGGGGCAGGAGTGCGTTCTTGAGAGACGACGCTTCGGCGTCTCCTGCATCCGAAGTAGCCGGCACGGAAGGCTCCTCCCCCTTCGCCTCCCCCCGCAAGGGGGAGGAGGGCAGAGGCGTCGCAGCATTCTCTGACAGTGGTGGGGGAGATGCTGCTCCTGCAGACGCCTCGTCCTCCCGCAACACGCGCTTCTCCTCCCTCTGGGAAGGAGACTCTCTGCAGGAGTATCGCGCACGCGGTCCCAAGACACACCTGTCTCTAAACACAATGCCTCCATCGCCGATCGAGAAGGCTGTCTCCGAGTCACTATTTGAATAAAAAAGACTGGACGCTCTAAGGTCCTTGAGCGCCATGCGTGCCAACACCACGTCGTTCGCTTCCCAAAAGGCAATCGCCACTTCCATGAAGACGAGGGTTAACTCAAGGCTCAGAGAGGGCATCGCCCCCCCCTGCAGAACCTGCTGCGATTGAGGCGGCTCCGCAGAAGCTGCTTCTTTTGCAGGAGCAGAAGCTGCTTCTCCTGCAGGAGCAGGAGCTGCTTCTCCTGCAGGAGCAGATGCCGCTTCTTTTGCAGGAGCAGAAGCAGCTTCTTTTGCAGGAGCAGGAGGCGCAGTTGCAACGGCTGCTGCTTGCGCAACCGAAGGCAGTGCACCGTCCCCCCCCTCCCCTGTCTCCGCGCTTGATCTCCAGTGCACTGCCAAGGGTGGCATGGACGCCCCCGAATCAAGCCCAATCTTCAGCCAGTTTCTTCCAGAACTTGTTGCTGCACTGGGAGCAGCAGCAGCAGCTGGGAGAGGGGGGGGGGGCCCTCTGACCTTAGAGAGAGCCGCACGCAGCAGCACATTTTTTTCCCCCGCCTCCGCTTCGTCCTCCTCGGATACGAAGGACAGAGTCTGCTGCACACTCTGCAGCGTACCCTGCACCGCTGCCACAGTCTCCTTGGAAAGAAGACCGCGCGGTCCTACTGCAGCGGCGGAAGCCTCGGAGAGCTCGTCTAGGTGCAGCTGCAGACGTCGATGCACTGTCTGCTTGTACGTCGCAAGGGCCTGCAGGATGCGCCGAAGACTCTGCTGCCGCCAGTGCATCTCCACAGGAAGCGAAGTCACAGCCAGCGTAGCCTTTGGGAGCGAGGATACCCCTGCAGCTTTCCCCCCTCCGACAGACGACGCAGATGAACTGTCTCCCCCCGTTGCGCTCCCCGAGACGGTTTGTGCCTTCGAACGCTGCGCTATCTGCAGCTCTACGCGAAGCCCTTTTTCCGCTTCCTCCACTGCATCGTGAAACTCCTCGTCTTCGCACAAACCACCCACCGAAGACGAAGTCGCGCACCGCAACATCGGAGGGCCGCTGCGCACCAAACTGCCGCTGCTGCCACGGCTTGCTCCCCCCTCTCCCTTAGAGACACAACACATAGGCACAGACGAACACACACAAAACACGAACTTTTCCCCACAAAAAGACACCGGAGAAGCCGCCTCTACGCAAGCGCCAATACAAAAAGCAACCCTTGAGCTCCTCAACGGGCGAACGCGCCGCAATGTGGGTGTGGTCCTCTCGGACGCGCGTATAAGGCAAAGGTGGAAAGAGAATATCGGGAGAAAATGTGGAGAATGGAGATTTCTCTTAAACCCTAAAGCATGGATCGAACGGTCCTTTAAATACCCATGCGATTCCCATTTATTAAAAAATTAAAATAAAAATAAAAAAACCTTGTTACATGGACCGTCAGTCACAGGCACAAATTGCAAGCTGCTCCTTCTCCCCTTCTTTCCCCCTGTCCAGCCTGCTTCCTTACCCTCCTACCAAACAAACAACTCACCGCCAGCACGAAACACACACACACACACGGAAGAAACAACCCCTTCTCGCAAAGCTCCAGACACATCGCACTGCAAATGCTTCAAGCACGCCGTAGGACATGCAGCATGACACCCCCAAGCAAGAGCAGGTAAGAGCGGTACCAAGCATATATATATATACATGTGTACATGCATACATATACATGTACATATACATATATATATAGATGGATATACAACTGCAGAAGAGGCCTTACAGAGTCCATGGCACTCGCCGGTGTCTGCAAAGACATGAAGAGTGGCGAATTCGTGGAAGGATCTGAAACAAGAACTTGTTGCAACTCGGCAATGGCACCGCATGCGCCAGTCTGTAGATCCGCAGTGACTTCGACGAGTAGATCGGAGAGTTCTGCCTGCAACACGGGGGGGCATCGCTCTACTGCGCTGCTCGTTTCCCTTTCTGCTGATCCCCTGATCAAGAAACCACAGCGACCGAAGCGCCACGTAGACGCGAATACCAATTGAGACAGCGTCTCACGCTCTGGACTGCTGCTTCCATCCTTGCTGCCTGCTTCTGTCGTCGTCGCGTCCGCTGCAGAGACACCAGGGGAGGTGTCGCTGCTGTCTCTGTTGCTGCTGCACAAGAAGGCCTGCCTCTCGTCGTCTTTTTGGATCCCTATCGCTCCTGAAGTGTCTGCTTGCACCCCACTGGCGCGGAAGACGCTGCTGCTGCTGCTGCCGTCCAGAGCCTCCCCCGCTGCCACTGACGTTGACGCTGCCTTCTCCTCCGCAGCTCCTGCCGCCTCTCCCTCGCAGTGCATGCGTTCCAGCGCGACAAGGGGTAGCCGCTCTGCTCTACGCCTGAAGGCAGCGCTGTCTTCAGCACGGCCCGCTGCTCCTAAAGCTGCAGGAGCTACAGAAGAAGACGCCGCATGCAATGCTTCTGCTGCTGCTGCTGCTGTCTGCTGCTGGGGACGCACTTGCAGCAGCGACTTGGCCATAGAGGCAGGCACGGCAATCAGAAGTCCGATGGCTTCAGGCGTTAGCTCCAGGAAAATCTCCTCGAACATGATGTTCAAATTGACTTCCTTCATCTGCAGAACCTCGATGTGCATGCGGATCGGAATAGGACGCAGTATAGACACTTCTTGATGCCCTGTCGGCGTACAGATGAGACGCGTCTCGTTGAACTCGAGAACGCCACGCAAGGCATCATACGGGCAGGGGCCGTCTGAGCGGAGAGAAAGCGTTCCCAGGTGCAAGGCAACGCTGCCAGCAGCCTTGCCGTCCAAATTCAGGATAGGCGCAGCCACCAACAAATCCAGTTGCACCAAATCTGGTAGATGCTGAACAGCCGCAGAATACACCGTCTCCCCCGTTTCCCTAAGGCCCTCCACGAACTCGCTTTTGCGCATTTCATCGACTTCCGTTGCAACGCGACTCGAATCCGCAGCTGCTGCTGCTGCCTCTGCTGCTGCTGCCTCTGCTGCTGCTGCCTCTGCCGCTGCTGCCTCTGCCGCTGCTGCCTCTGCGACGTCTAAATCCCCCTGAGCAGCAGCAGCCTTAGTAGCAGCAGGGGCTGAAGCCGCACAAGCGGCAGCCGAGTGATTGCGTCTCTCATCTTCCTCTTCGAACCTGCGCAAGTCGGCTGGCGTCTCGAAGACAAAGAAGTCGCATAGAGTTCGCAGTAGCTCGGGCTTTACGGCAGCAATCAGGGGGGCCAGCCGAATACACATTCCCAGAATATTGCCTGTAGGCGTCAAGTCGTGGCGCAGTTCGAGGTGAGCAGCCGTCAGCGAGTCACTCGAGACTGCACGGCTGCAACTACTGCTACTGCTGCTGCTGATAGTAGCGTTCGCCATAAGTCGATGGCGGTAACCCAACAGGCTGTCAGCTGCTGCTGCCGCGAGGAGCGGTGTGGGCACGGCTAGCGATTCCTCGCCACGACTTCGCGTCTCATCAGAAGGAGACTCACCGTCTCGCCGAAAGTGCATGAGGAGATGCGACTGCTGCCTCACGGTCACGTTGGACAGGGAGATGCAAAACAGCCACTCGCTGTTGTCTCTTCCTGCAGCGTCTTGCTTGTTCAACAGGTCTAGAGTGGCTCCAAGATTGAAGAGTTCAATCGACAGGAAAGCGTTATTCGCCGCTGCAGCCTCTGAACGGACGCCTCCACATCCCCTGTAAGGCTCCCCCCCAGAGACTTTCGCACCGCTTCCTTTACCGTGCATGGCTGCAGTCCCCCCTGTATCCATCACCCCTCCAGCAACCACTGCTGCTGCGAGTTTGGGTGCTGCAGGGGGCAGTGGAAAGTTGGGGGGAAAAGCCTTTGCGGCTTCCGTGGGGGAGTAGCCTATAGCCTTGATCGCTTTGGCCTCCTTGATCGCTTCTGCCACGACTTCTGTCGGTTCCACGACATCCGCTTCATCGTCTTTCAAGCAAATGCTGAAGTGCTCGAGCTCGAAGGTGAGGACGTACTTCGTGGGGAGAGACACGCTCTGCATGAGCTTGTCAGACTGCACCGCAGCGAAGAACAACACACGAAAGCCCCAGAAAAGCAGCATGCGCAACAAGCGCCGTGGACACAGTGCCTGCATGCGTCTCGCTGGCAGGATTTGTTCTCGCGAAGCCGCTTGCAAGCCACAAGAGGGATGATGCACACACACGAGGCCGGCATTCTCGAGAGAGGCGTTTCTTTCGCCCCATACAAAAAAATCAGGAGCTCCTGTTCAACAGGCATTCTGGATCGAGAAGCTTGCTTGCGAAAGCGGCGTCTAAACTCAGGCAGCGAACCTGAACAGCATCGACGATCAGTTGAATGTCTTCACTTGTCAGAAGAGGCGCGTCTGCGTCTTCCCCTCCATTATTATTTGCACCGTCTCCGACTGCATGGGCCTGCTGCAGCTGCTCATCTGTCGCTGCCTGACGGCGCATAACCCACTGCCACCAGCTCTGCTGCTGCTGCCTGGGGAGCTGCTGCTGCTGCTGCTGCTGCAGCAACTGCTGCTGCTGCAGCAGCTGCGTTTGCTGCACGACGCGGTTCGTTGCCTCCACGCAAATGTTGCGCCACTTGGCGAGCTGCAGCAGCGGATCAGCACAAACACAGAAGGCACAGGAGGCCTTGCAGCCTACGACACGCCTTCGCACGGAGCCTCCTTTCGCCGAAAAAGCGACAGTTCTCGCAAAGGCGGCAAGCAATAAAAATCCCAACCACAAGCACGAAATGCATAAGGCACGCGCAAAAACTAGCAGCAGCAAGACGCGGAGGGGCAGCAGAGGCGTGTATCTACAGAGGGCCCCCATCCCTTCCCCCTCAACTAACAAAACCATGCCTTTCCCCTCCCCCCCCAACAACAATATGCGAGCAACTTCTTCTTCTCGCAAACGTGCCGCTTCGTGCAGACACTCTACCCCACAGCAAGGCAGCGAGGCCCCATTACGCGGTTGCCACAGAGCAGCAGAGACAACACGCAAAAAAAAGAGCCGAAGACAGCACTGGAGACTCTGGCAGTCAGTCAGTCAGCGAGCGAGCAGCACGTAGCAGTCGCTGACACGCTAGGAATGAAAGCAGCGAAAGCTTTTCTTCCCAAACAAGAAGCTCTCAAGGAACCTGCGCAGCTGCAGGCCCCGACATCTGGTAGAGATTAGTCCGAAGGGCAGAGAGGGAAGGAAGTGTAAGAAACTCGACACGGGAGAAACGCACAGACACACATCAGCCTCTCAGGGGGTGTCACGAGCGAGGCTCCTCACGCTATACATAGCTTCCGTACAAACCAACAAACATTTCTCTATCACCCTTTGCTTCACGATGTTCTCAAGCGGTGCTAGCTCACATGGCGAACTCCCACAACGTCGTGGAGCGTCGTAAGCCTCTGCTGCTCCCTAGCCGTCAAGGGAGAGACCCCTCGAACTCCTGCCACCGTTTGCAGCTGCCGGCTATACAGTTGAATAAATTCTCTTTGCGTCACTCCCTCGAGACCCTCTGCGCCCAGCACAACAGTGTGTGCCTGCCGCAGCAGCAGCTGCTCGCATCGCTGGCGTCGCTGCGTTGCTTCATTAGAAATCGCCAAGAGGGCTTCCAGCTGTGATCGTCCAATTTCGACACCCTGACTCTCCCGCAGCACCTCCAGACGAGCCACAAGCTCCTGCTGGGCTGTTGCGTGAGACAGCGTCAGTCGCAGGTGCAAAGGCTTCAAAACATACTGCGTTCGGCTGCGAACCCCACCCTCCTTCCCCCCCACTCCCCAGAGGTGCCACGAAGCTGCAACAGCCTCTTGATCCCCCGCCGAAGACGTGGGATAGATCGCCACGTCAGGGGGACAGGCAATGCCGCCACGCGAAGGGGGTGGCATGCACTGAACTCCTTCAACGCCCTCAACGGGAGACCCCACGTTTCCTGGAGGCGCTGCAGAAGCCTCCAAAAAATCGCCCGACATCGGGGATTGGAACGACAGAGACTGCGCCTGATGCGTCACAAAGGACATCGCATACTTCGCACATATATATACATACATGTATATGTATATATATATATATAATACATAATACATAATACATACATACGTACATTCATACATACATACACAAACACATACACACACATCCATACACATACACACACATCCATACACATACACACACATACAAACACATACACACACATACAAACACATACACACACATACACATACATACACCAACACATCCATACACCAACACATACATACAAACACATATATACACATACACATACATACACATAAAAACACATACATACACATACATACACATACACACACATACATACACATACATACACATACACCTCATAAATTGCGCATTCTTAGACTCAAAGTTATTGGATCTGAGAAGCCAGCAGTATCGCGCATAGGAAAGCGAGTGTGCTACGCAGGAGGTAGGAGGCCGTACGACGCACAATCCCTAGGGTCTGCTCCAGCCACCTTGGCTGCGTTGGAAGAGAACTTATAGCAGGCACTTGCGAATGAGTTTCAGGTGATGAGATTTTGGAATGGCGAGATGCACGACTCGACTGGCGGTTTGGGGCAGTATTAGTACTATTATTCGCTGATGGAGGCGCCCATAGGTTCGTGCAGAATCTGTCATACCTCGTGAAATGCCGATTGGTGGCTTCCTTCGAGGCTTTCTCTGAAGGGGGTACCTGGTGCGGGCCCTGCAAAGGTTTCGCCTCTCAGCTGTACAGGGAGTTCATGCGTCTGCGCTCGAGGGTTGCATGCATGAGAATCCCCACCTGCCCCCGCAGCCTCTCGACTCCGCTGCAAGCGTTCTTGCGCAGCGCCTGCGCCGCTCTTGCAGACGGCGAAGGGAGGCGGATAGGAGGGAGGAGGTGGGGGTATGGGGGGGGGGGGCAAAGAGTCCGCGAAGTGTGACGGTAGATCCTGCTGCTGCTGCGCCTTGGGTTGGTGGCGTTGCTGCTGTTTTGGCTGCTGTTTCTCGCGCCGATCGAGGGCGCAGTAGATCGCGAGGCCGCTTAGTTCGCATGCCTTGTAGAAGGCGGCATCCGACTGCTGGGGAAGCGTTTCTTCATGGCGTCGCCACGCTGCATCGGTGTTGTGTATAGAGGCTTGGGTTAGGAGCACTCCCAAGGAGAAGCCTCGCACGGGGTCTACCAGCGCAACATGAACGTCGCGGATGTCGACGAGGAGGTTGCTGAGAATCTTGTTCATAAAGCGAAAGAAAAAGCCACCATCGCCCTCCTTGCTGCTGCCTGAAGCCCCCGGCACGGGCTGTTGGTGCTGCTCCGCGAGGCGCAGTCGAGCGTCCAGCATCTGCTGCTCGCACGCCACCACTTGTTTGCGCTTGATCTCCCGCAGTTGTTCGATTAGCTCGGCGTCGCCTTGATGGGGTATGGGTTTTGGCTCCAGCAGCACGTGCAATCCAGCCACCTCCACGCAGACGGGCGCAGATCCCATCCTCGACCAGGGGATCGTGATCTTTATCTTCTGAATACGGCCCCAAAGGACGCGAAACGGAATGCCTAGGAGATCCGAGACGTCGGGCTTTATGTGCAGATCCTCAAGCTCGACGTTGCCACTCCACACCGCTACGGAGAGCTTATCCCGGCTGATGCCCTCCACATACTGTGCCAGATAGCGGCTCAGCAGCCGTTCCACCACAGACTCCAGCATCTTCGCCCCCACTCTCCCGCCTACAGATTTCTAGCTGTACCGACACTGCCCTGAAATTCGGCCGCCGCTGACAGCAGCAGACCGACTTGGGGCCGGCGGATCAGAGAACGGTGAGTGGAAGGCAAGCAGCACCCACGCGCTGCATCTTTTGCAGCAACAGAAATCCACCGAAAGTTGAGCAGACAGCAGCGCACAGAGAGTGTTGGGGGATAGATAGAGAGAGCCGCAGAGGCCCTGCACACAGGCCCCTAAAGGGCCCCCGAGTTTCGAATGGCCACTGAGTGCCGGTGCAAGAGTACCCCGAGGCAAAGAGCCACAGAGTATACTTCCTCCCTCTCAGAAACACAGACGATTCCACAGGCCAGCACTGTCTCTTCATGAGACAGGCGCTGCTACGATTTCTAGGATACAGGGGACTCAGTGAGGAAAGGGGAGTACGACAATGCAGGTTGGAAACAAGCGGCAACACAGGCACCTAGAACTCCAAAAGACAAAGACTCTTGTATGCTTAATGAAGGACCTCTGCAGCAGGATGAGGCGCCTGTAGGGTCCTGGAAGGCAAGGCAGCCATTGTTTTCGAATTTGGTTCAGGAAATTCAGCGTAGTAACTTGGCGGGACGAGGAACGTGTTACTCAGGGATAGGTACCTCTGGCTGACCGTAATCTACAGCAATATGCTGATAAATAAAAACCACAAAAAGTCCCATGGGAATCGTTTTCATTCAAGAGTTTAGGGCATGCAGATCAGGAGCATGCACCGCAGTAGCCTAGTGTACGAGACCGATTGACTGCTGTGTGGCACACGGAGCCGCCGATGGCCTACCACTTAGTAACCGTTCATGACTCTTGTTTTTTGAGATGTCTGTAGTCAATAAGCAATAAAACAACAACCTAAAGGGCAATAGCAGTATATATAGCGGCAAACAATCCCCCCGGTTAGCCCAGCCCGTATGCCACACTTTTTGTCTTTTTCCCTTAACGGAGGAAAAGCTCAAACACAAGATACTTGTTCAGCTTGTTTTATTATGAATTTGCACATTTTGATACGGAGGAATTACTCATTGGTGCTCAACGCATGTGAACGCTATCTCTTCTCGGCTACGCCACAACTGGTAGTCTCCAGGCATTACCTGGTTTTTGTTGCTTTGCCGCGACCCTATAGTGGATCTTTATGCAACGAGCTGTAAATTGTGATCAAAAATATGCAAAAGCATTAAAATTCAGGGTTTTGGCCAGAATGATGGCCGTTAATGTCAACTTGCAGCAGCACGGGAGCGTGTGATGGTGGGAATAGCTCGAGCTCTGTCCCGGTCGGTTTCATAAGTAAAAACACCAGCGCGGCTGGCGTTATTTTGCCATTTCATGCGTGATCTTATCTTAGCTCATCCGCTAAACGGAACAGCAAATAAGTCCACGCTTTTGTGAGGGTCTATCCACGCTCTCCGTTAGGAGGCAGCTATCTCCAGACTCAGTGCAAACTTGACAGAAAGTAATTGAGAGGCTTCAATTAGATTTTCCCCTCTTTGCCTGCCGGCTGCATTTAGATTTCCCAAGTATGAGGACGAAGACAGCTAATTGCGCGTAGCTGCAGCATCTGGGCAATCGGAGCATATACAGATGGCAGTACGTGGCATCTAGCGCACACGCATATAATATCATCTCTTAATGTATCAAGCAGACAGTAACATGCAATAAAAATGATGTAGGAGCCGACGAACGAGTTACTCAGCTGCTTTCTGATTTCTGCTTACACAAAGCTAATGTAATAAAAAGTGTTCATGTGGAGCTATACCCGGTTATCCTTCCCTTACCAAAAAGCGCAAGCCCTCATACTCCCTACCAATATGTCGGAAACAACTGTGTCCATGGCATTCTAAGAACTCTGGCCGTATTTTCATGCTCCAGGGCGGCATAAACGCGAAAACAGTGCATAACGAGAATAGCAAAGTGGGCACCAACCGGTAAAGAGAAATCGAGGGGAAGAAAGGTACAATTGCCAGCTTTGGACTAGAGACCAGACCAGCACGAGGACGGTGGTGCAATGGCTGGCTGTCGGCGGAGTGCTGAAATAAGTTCACCTCCTGCTACTGACAAAAAATGTGCAAAGGGAGTCAAAACACAACGTAGTGCAGCAGTGCCTCCGCTCTTCAAGCTGCAACGCCTCCATGCGAATAGAGCCCATGTACGCAGCAGAGTCAGCTCGTAAACCCCAGAAGAAGCAACATGATCTAAACACAGACCTGAAAGTAAATAACCCCTTAGCAATACCAACCGGCAAGTCTTCAGGCAGTGCCCATAGAAGAAGGTTGCATTTCAGGCAGATCATGGGATGGGAAAGATCACTTACCAAGGCATGCGAGTAACCACGTCTTTGGAGACTACTGATATATACCACAGGTGCCAATTCTCCTAAGCTAGCAAAGGCCCCAATACGCTTCTCCGTCAAAGACTGAGGCTGGCCTCTCCCACCCAGTATCCCTACAAACTTTTCCCGGTTTGTTTTCGGCGTTGAACAACCGTAATAGCTAGCACTTCTCTGGCTCCCTGTGAGTCCTTCCCCTCCACACAGACCCCGTGTTTGCCCAGCAAAGTCCAAAAATAATAGGGGATACTTCAGATTCTTTAAGGAACCAAGCACTAATAATTCTTTGGCACATCCAAGTCTCAAGGCAATCGATAGAGTAAGAAAGGGCATGGACTTGCCAGTGAATGACACATGGTCCAGCCACCTGGCCGCAGACGTCTTCGCCTGGTCGCCTCTAGGTGCGCCTGGCAAGGCCTTCCCATCCACCAGGTCGATACACACAGCTGACCGCTGGTGATCATAGCTCCGTGCCTGTCTCTCTTGGGCTTCGCGCATACCGACAACTAGCCAGCTGTGTTTTTGAATCCCTTCGGTGCTAAAGGTCGCTGTTTGCCATGGACTTCCAAGTCCAATTTCGGATAGGAGAGGCTTTATTTACTGTTTGACCAGGGATGAGGGAGAGCAACTGATGGACGAGTACCCTGTCGTATTATAAACCCACTCAGCACAGGGAGGAGAGTCAAGCCAGGCAATCGCTTCTCTGTCACCTTGAATTCACAATTAGAGCAGAAGGGTGCGTTTGTCCGGTCTGTCTGCCTATCTGTCCCGGCATATCTCTCAGTGATCTGGCAATGAAGGTCCCTTAGGAGGGTCAAGAGGCGCGCTAGAACGCTCGAATGAGCTTCTGATCCTTCCAATCTGTGAAAATCCTAGATATGATGTGTAATTAAGCGAGTCTCTGAACCGTGGGCAAGTGAGCATATTTGCTGACCCTGTGGACAACATTTATGCTACCCTTACCCTTGACCCCCAAAGCAAGGGTAATTAATCACATCAGCCTAGATTCTTACATAAATCAGAAAGAAAAAAAGGGGTTTGGAAGAACTGTGCAGCTCCGGCTGCTGACAATCTGGGTATAACTCTGCAGAATAATCTGGGGCGGGCGCGTCTCAGGCTACCAGAAAGGCCGCAATCGTTTGCACATTCTACTAAGAAAATCACCGTCGCTCGAGTACATACATCATTTGGTCTGCACAAAAGCGCGTTGGGGGTGAAGTCGGAATGTATAAAGGCCGAGCTCTCGCTTAGTCTAAATCCGAGCAGGCCATAGTCAATATTGAAGTGCTTCACCCTTTTGCCCTTTCAAATTTTGGCAGTGATAGCGCGTGCATGGTTGTCAACAGCACAACAACTACGTTACTTTGATATAGGCCATGAATGCTCACAGGCGAGAGAGCTTGTGCTGCACAACACTGAATCGCTGGGGAGTCTCGAGGGCGCGCTGGCGCCCACGAAATGACGTAATGTACTTCACTGCAATGTAGCACTACAGTAGGCTCCCAAAGTAGCGAACAACCCTAAGATGATAAAAACTTAGAAATGCTGCGTAAGGAACATAGACACCAGTGGTATGGTACACAGTATAATGACCTCCGTATGAGTAGTGCCGGCCTGTTTCCACTAGCCCCTTTGCCGCATCGAGCTTATTTTACTATACTAAATATTACTGCTTGGTTTTAGGGGAGGGACAAAAATTTTAAACAGTAGTATGAGGTTTTGGGATGGTCTGTAGTTCGTTAGAAGAAAACACCCACAACTGGGTCACTAGCTTAGACGCGACATCGGTGTGTTCTAGAACCCAGCTTTATTATTTCTTTTCAGCCAAACACACAGAAGTTGCGCATTTGCTCCTGGATGCTTAAGTACTCCTTAATTTGTGGAAACCCAATTGCTCGGTCGTTTGATGGCTAAGTCGCTGCCCAGCCTGTGCCCCCTGATTGGACATTTCAGGAAAACCTGAGCTACTCACTAATAACTAGTCTGTTCGTCTACTTTATGACGTTTGCAAGCCAAATGATGATCTCCTGCTTCAGGCATTTCAATTATCTCAAAGCTTGCCTTTGAGCTGATTTAGGCATAATCTGATGAGTCAGCACATGCATATAGGCTTGAACTGTTGCATTCCCTTTTGGCACACGACTTTGTCTGCATGGATAGAGCGACTAGTGAGGTAGTTCCTCCTCCAAGAGCGCTTGCATCTGTTCATTTAGAGCCTAAAAAACGAGGTTCACATCCAAATAGTTAATGATATTTTCGAGTTCTTGCCTATCATTAATGCCGTCATACTTTTCTGGTGGCGTCACAGCCTCGACGCATCGATAAACATTTACTGGGCTAAAATAATCATGCCTCTCTACCTGCTAGGAAGCTAGTGCGTTTACCTTACCCTGCAAGCAGGTCCTCACCATTCCATCAGGCGTTTTGTCACTGTCTGCTTCTATCGCCAGAGAGCTTCGCCCCCAGCTCATTGCCGAAGAAGACCACATTTTTAAATTGCCAAGTAGCTTGCCCGAACAATGCAGCTGCTGTAGCTTAACCTCAAATCTCACTTCCTTCACATCAAGTGTATGGACGAGGTGCAGCTGCATAAAACCACGCAGTGGTACCGACCGGAGCACTCCGTCCGAGGTCCCCGTGGAGAGGCAGCTAGCTGCAGATACAATCCAAGCTTTGTAGAAAGGTATCGAGCGCCTTTCGAAAAACCTCGTGCCCTTTCCTGGCCGCTCCATTTATACTTCCTAAATGTGGGCACAATGATAGCTAGATGTACATAGCCCCAACCCCTAAGCACTCCGAGCACTCGCAGCTAGCCGCAGAGCGCATCAAGCGCACACCCACACAGCATTGTGTCTTCTTCTATCGAGATGACCATACTCCGCGAGAAATACGATACAGAAGCAAATCAACCAATAATGCTTGGTTTATCAATATTTAGGCATAAAATATGCAGTAGAAAGTTGGTAGGGGACAGCCCGCTAAATGGAGCGCACAGAGTATGAGCTTCCTGCAAGCGGAGGATTACTTCCATTACCGAAATCTTTGTCTTCCAAACACATTTACCTCATAAAGCGTATAGGGACCCTACGGAGATGTCCTGATATCACTCAGCAAAGTTCGGATCCGTATTGGCTCCTTACCCATGTGTCAAGAGGATTGTTACTCATCGGTTTTTGCTGATACGTAGCGTCAGAAAAACTCCGGTCACGAAAATCCCATTATTTCAAGCAATGATCATGCTTTGCAGCCAAATAGCTTGTGGAGAAGAGTGGTCACCTAGTCTGCTTGCTTAATTACCCAGAGAAATGTCCGGCATATCCTCTGTTTTCGACGCGGCGGTAAAGAGGTGCACAGCATCCCAACCTTCCTAGAATAAAATAATCCGGTGGCAGTATTCATATTCTTAATGCAGAATGAATGTTGGAAGGTATTTTTGTGCATGCAGATTAGAGCCCCAGTCAGAGTTTCCAGAGACAGCAGCGAGCAGGGGAAAAGCAATGCTGTGTGCTGCTCGAAACAAGGGGGGAATTCACCTTAACTTTTTCCTTTGATGATTTATTTCTTTTGACAGGAATACAAAGGGAAAATTGACTAGCTTTCTGCGCTAATCTGCATCAGCGCATACTCGCTACGTCCTCGAGACATCTGTCTCAGTGTCCCAGTCCATTACAGCAAATACTATAGAACGAAACAAAATCACGACAATCTCCACAGTTTCTTGTTTGTAAAAGTCTAAGGACGACTCAATCAGTGCACCATATGCTGCAGTCAGGCACCTGATTACGTTCCCGCTGCTTTGCCCATGGCGTCGAAGTTCATTGCTCTTGGCGTTTCTTGCTTGGCACTGGCTGCCGCAGGTGTTTGGCGGGTAAGCTATTTTCCCAATTATTAAAAATAATTCTGCTCATATTCCCTTCAGTCAGAGCGCGCCTCATTGACATGCATGGGGGCAAAGTAGAATTACACTGGCGGATCATGGCTACGGCAAGCTTTCGGCTAAAGAGTAGGGGGGTTTCGAGTGAAATTGGCAGAGCAGTGCAGTGCCAATGCCGTCTACAGAAATACAAGCAGCTAAAGCATGTAACATTAGCAGAGGGCACTGATTTTTAAAAGAAAAGTCCACGTAGTTTTCCTGTGTTTCCTTCCCTTTCTTCCTGCACTACCTTGCCCTCCTGTCTGCTGCATGCACGGCGTGTATGGTTTGTTTGCAGGGTCTGTGCTTTAGCGATCTTTCGGCAGTGGAGAACATGTACTCCATTGTAGCACAGCTCATGTCCCGCCCCCAATATCTGTATAATCTGAGCGGCATCGAGCACTTCAGGGAACGTTCAGACTTGTGAGGACCATGGCAGTAGTTTTGGAAGGCTAAGGCCTATAGTGTACGACAAAAATTTGAAGTCTGCGATATACGCTGGGCTCGCAGGGGATGGTCTGTTTGCCACTCCGCTTAAAAAATAGGCTCAACAACAGTCGCCCGCTAGGTTATACTCGTAGAGCGACCACTGCAACTCCTCACTTCTATTTACATCTTTCCCTCTCACTGGCGGCGATTATAACATAAAAGCGATTAACCTATTCACATGTATATAAACTTCGGACCTGGTTCCTGCAATGTCATACACCGCGACGTCCGGGCGGCTTCATTCGTTTGCTCTGTGCAGAGCCATGAACGACTTCTTGCTACGCGAATCTCAGCCAGTAGCCTTTCGGGCCTCTTATTCTCTGCATGCATCCTACCAGTCTTCTGCGGAGGAAGACGGAAAGGAGCCATGGGCAGTAGCACCAAAAGCTTCAGAGGACACGCTACTGTATGATGAGATGTATCGAGAGCACAAGCTACACGCACCGACAGACCCTGCGTCGGTCATTATTCATAGACCCCATTCCTTCGGCAAAGGTGTTCCCGCGCAGCTTGTGCCCCCCCACCCGCTTGAACCCCCAAAGTCGAATCAGCAAAAGAATCTCACCACTGTGGAACAGAAGAAGACCATTGGAATTAGCCTTTATGCGCCAATCACCTGCTCTGCGGCTCCGAAGCTCAACAAGTCGTCCCAGTCCGTATTACCATGTCAACAAAACCATGAGGCGCTGCTTGAAACGATAAAACAAACAGAAAAAATCCAAGGGGTTTTCGACTTTAGAGTTCAAGTTGAAGTACTCCAGTTAGTCGAAAAAGCGGCAGGACATGTTTCCCAGGCGACGCGTCAGGCACGTTATGCGTGTTGATCGTGTAGCGGCTGGTTTCGCTGCTGTTGCAGTCCTTACTTTCGCTACACGTTGTCTTCTTATATTTTTGCGGTTGCTGTCGTATTTTTGTCGCTGCTGCTGTGCTCACTACTGAGAATTCCATTGAGCGAAGTGTGTTTACGGCGTTTGCTGGTCGTGCTATCTACGAGTAACCGTGCCTTTTTCTCTTGTTGTTCTGTCCTGTCCCATACACAGGGGAACCGCAAGTCAGGCCTTCGCCCTGTTTTGTTCTTTCTTCATGGCGGAGGCTTAGTGTCTCTGTCCAGTGCAGCTTACGATAAGCTGCTGCGGCGGATGGCTAACCTCATGGGCGAAGCTGACGGCCTCGTCATATCTGTTGACTACAGGTGAGCTGCCTCTAGCTTTAAGGCAGAGAAGTCGCACATTCGTATCTTTTCGGGGCATGGCTGCTGATGCAACAGCCTAATAGGAAACTGTTGCAGCGGATACACTCTCCTCTGCATATGAATTCCAAGCCGCCCGCCGTGTAGTATCTTATTGGCTATATACACAACTTATTGCCTACCTTACTGCACTTGCATCTACTGACTAGCTTTGGTCCACCTTCAGAAGAAACTCATATTCGTACGATCGGGCCAACATGGGGTGCACTGCTGCTGTGATTCAGGCTGGCACCAGAACACAAGTTCCCCATTCCGATGGAAGATTGCCTCTTTGCAATTAGCTTCGTTATTCAGCATGCAGAGGCCTACGGTATAGATCGCAAAAAGTGCGTGGATTATGCGGAAAATGCACGCCTCGTGACTATTGCATGATACTTTAACACCAGCATCCATATATGTCTTCCTTTATTGTATGCTCCTATGTAGACGTTTGGAAATGCGTACTTTATTGTGTTGCGTAGAATTGCAATGATTGGCGACAGCGCGGGTGGCGCTTTGGTCGCCTCAGTTTTGGGTGAAGGCTTGCGGCTGCCTCAGAAGTACCCGTGGATTCATGACGTCCAGCACGCCTCTCTGATTTATCCATCTCTTTGCCGAGGATGCCCTACGCGGAGCCATCTGTTGTGAGCACAGGCAACCCTGATATCAGTGTGTTTCTCGCTTCTACTAGGGCTTACAGGTGCTTCTTATCCGCTGATGGCACCCCAATATGAGGCTAAATGCACTTCAGAAACCACTTTAGTGGGTAATCTCACAGCGCATGTACAGCAGGTCTCTGCCTTCGTGAAGCAGCACCACGGAACGAGAGGGAGGAAGGGGCAAAAGTTCACGCAGATGCGTAGCGGTAACGGCGAAGCAGTGGAATTTCTACGGAATGAATATATATGGTTAGGAAGGATCTGCATATATATATATATACCTTTAAAACTTGCAGTTATGCTTCCAGTGCTGCACTATCCGTTACGATCCGTGCCTATTGTTCTGATGGCCTGCTCGGTGTGTGTGGTTCACAGGTATGGCAACAAAAATTCCTTGAGTAACGATATTTGGTTCGGTCTCGCGGTACGCTCTCCTCTAAGTCCCTTTAGTGACGTGTATTCAGCTAAAAGTACACATCTTTCTAACGAGTCTCTCAACAAAAACTAGCCAAGGAAGTGGCCATTTATGCTAAATAGCTGTTGGGTCGCCTCTGCAGCACACACAAACTCTTGGTCCTGCGCTGGACTGGCGCCAAACTCCATTTTCCATTCCGTCAAAGATCCTTTCACAGTTCCCTCCAACAAGTCTTGGTAAGGTTCTTAGCTTATGAGCATGTTTCACCCAAACTGGGTCTGAATCCCCAGCACGATTTGCCGAGCTGTAGTGTCTCATGTCTTCATTCACAGTAACTTATTTAAGTCTAGGTAGGGCATGCAGAGAGTTCATATCTTCGGGCGCCATGGCGGCTTTTATGCGCGGTCGCAGTCTTGTTCACGCATGATATCCAATACGAAATCGGCATTCTCTTCCATGAAAGACTCCGCAGGGCTGGAGTATCGACCAGTTTATTTGTGGCACCCGGTGAGTTGAGCACGCATTCCTTCACCGCGTTTGCTGTACATTCAAATCAAGCGTTCTGGCGCACCCCGCTACACAGAAAACCAGTGCAGCAAATTGCAAGTACTGAAGTACTAGTGCACAATTTTGAATATGTGTAACTATTCCCACTGGTCACAGATCACGTAAACAGAAATGCAAGCAAGTGTGCGCGAATCCGAATGCCTACTATCATATATTAATCGGAGTTTGAAGTATAAGGAGAAAATTAGTGCACAACGTCTACACCCTAGGGTCCAAACCCCACAGCATCCAACTCTGCTGTATTTGCAGGAATGCATGCTTTCTTTGGTTCTGATGCGTGGAGCTCGTTTGGCACAAAGACAGTCGAGTGGGCCATCGGACGAATTTTGGATGGATTTTTGCGCCCCCATGGGAAAGGAGAAAGCAAAGGAACACAAAAAGAGCACAGCAAGAGGCAGCAAGATGAAACCCAGAAGCAGACTCTGTGAGAAGTCACATGCATCAGGAAGAAAGAAAATATGCTGTTAGCTCGAATATCTTGAGGTCAAGGGGTGTAATGTATCCAAGGTAATTTATTGTTGGTGCTGTTGCGGGATGTCCAACATGGCGGCGCTTGCTCAAAACGCTAGATCTTAGTTGTGCTTTCAACGGGGTACTCTGCATACCCTGCGCCTTCCCCTGTATGAAACAAGGGTCCCATGGAGCCCTGCTAAATGCAGTGCCGAGCTCACTTAGTCCTCGAAAGTGTCTTCCTAGTGCAACAATGTTTGCTGGATTGCTTATTTGAGAAGACTTTGCCCAGGTAGGATGGTATATAGTGTACCTGTACCGTGTATTTCAGCCTAGAGGACGTCAGACTTTATTCAAAGTCTCTGCGTGTCAACTGCAGTGGCAGGCACACAGAGTAGTAGAGTGGTTTCACCCCCTTTTGTATAATTGTGCTACAACCTGGCGGAGAGCACGACACGGATTTTTGAACACCTGTTTACCGTCATCTAGGCAGACTAAGGGCTTCTAGATACCTTAGGGCTATAGAGAATAAGATTGATTACTTTGATGAACTCCCGAATAGAACCTACCAAATGCAGTGCGCAAAAATGTAAAACCACTGCAAAGCTTTACCTTTGATCTCCACAGGGATGCAGGTGACTCCGACCTAAATACAATAGGGATAAACTCATGGAGTGCTTTGTGAAGGATCTCCCGCGCTTCCGTGCCTGTTCACCTCAGGGCATTCAAATGAGGGAAGAGGGCAGCTAGGCGCGCGTAGCTCCACCCTCTTAGCACAACAAGCATTCAGAGCTAGCTGCACATGGCATTTAGCGCATGCGCATACAATTCCATACGTATCAAACTAACAGAGCTCTGCTAGAAACAACACCTACAGGCAGACTGATTTAATTCTACACTGATTCCTAGTTTGACAAAACTGGTGCAAAGGCAGCGCCGTACACTGCTTGTCGAAATTTCGAAATGAATATGTCAGGAAAGGGAGGCAAGGCATTACATGGGAAGTACCTTTCGAGGGCTTTCTGCCTTGAGCACAACCCAACGTGCGCATAGGGTGGTCTGCTGCAGCACAACCCCTAGTGAATCCCATTAAAAACTCCTAAAACCAGCAGATTCATTGAATAGCTAGAACAGGCATCACTTATATCATTTCACACCGGCGAAAAGTGCAGCACAGCGTCGCGGACGGCAGCCACTGAGGTCCTCACCAATCGGAATGCGCCAATGAAACGAGGCCGGACAAGGGCAAGTCAACCTCCGTATCCCGCAGAGAGGGTGGAGGAGCCCCAAACATGTGCCTCGATAACGGAGGCTACCTGGGTGGTCGTGCCTAGCGGTGGAAGCTCTACAGGTTACCCACCAACTGTATGAACACCAACTGAGTTGCCTATGCGCTTCACTGTGTGGCCGACCAAAAGCCGTTCCTATTGCTCTCTGAGACGCAATCAGTACCCTTTCTCAGGATTTTATTGTATTTTTCAGAGAAGGAAGTGCAGGAAGGGGAAAAACCCCGGCAGGACTGGCTCTTTGCTCCCAGTGTACCATTGCAGATTTGCTGGCAACAGAGTATAATTGTTCTTCCTGTTGCAGAAGGACAATTGAGGCGCGGCATCTCTCATGAAGCAAGCACAGAATACTTGCCATTGGCAATTGTATATTGGTTGCCGATAGCCCATTCCTTCGGGTTCTCGCTGTGCAGTGGTGCAGCAGCCACGCTGTGGGGCGGCGGCTGGTGGGCCCCCAGACCTGACAGTTCTGGAACTACCGTAGATGGCCCTTTTCGTGAAACTGTTCACCAAGGTCTTTATTTGGAGGCCTCTCAGCATATGGTGCTTTGGGCAGGCTTCTGCACGTCCGTATTGAGTTGTTTGTGCACTCCTGAACTGCAGTTCGACAGACGGTATCGGAGTGAACCTCCCCAGCTTCTGTAGCCGAGGCCCCCCAAAGGGAAATGGCGCCTCTTATTGTGCATTGATTTTTGCAAGCTCTTGCCGGTGGCTGGCTCCGTTTTTCTTGGGCCCGCCTAGCGTGCAGTCGTGGGCAGCCTGGTGCTCTCGGCTTTACATCCTCTCAAGGAGTGCGAGAGGACACTGTGCCTGCACTGCGTCTGTCGGGCTTTCCTCAAAGATGGCAGGGTCTTTGGACGCGGCTATTCGCGGCGTTCTTTTGCAGTATGGACGGGCAAAGGAGATTGAAAAGCAGGAAGTTACAACGGACGCTCCTGATGGCTGCGGTGATCTGGAGGAAGGGGTGGAAGGGATGAGCGCTGCGAAGGAATCAGAAGAGGCAGTAGTAGCCGCTACACAAAAGGGGAAAATGCTCAAAGTAGCCCGCATGCTGGTGGATTCAAATCCCCGCATCCGCAACAAAGGTTTGTCCAAATCCTTGCACCAACATTGACCTTCGTCTAGCCAGTATTGGAATTTCCTTCGTATTCCTTAATAATGAGCAAAACACTAGGTCGAAGGAACCGTGTGCTATCTTACAGCATTTGGGGTGTCGCGAACTCATGTTCTCGCTAGCAGCGAGCTGCTGCAGGGGAGGAGGGGCAGAGGCAGGGGCCGCAAGAGCAGCACACCATCAGTGTCGTGTTCGTCGCACATGGCTTCTTTGTATAGCATTGTAACACTTTGTCCAACGAAGTAATGACTTACCACAACGGATCGATATTTGTTTGCACACAGGGATGGCCAGTGTGGGAAGTTTTCTGGAAAGTTTCCAAGAACTCAAGGAAGACGAAATACTCCGTGTTTGGAGTACCCTGTACTACGGTGAGGAGCCTGGCAGGGCTGTTATTGAACAGTGTATGGGCACCTTCTTGAGCAGCTGAAACATGCGTTGTTCGTGGGAGAGGAAGCACGAACTTCAGCATATGCGCGAAACAACTGTTTATTTCTTCTCGCGGGTGGTGCTTATGTCTTGCACTTTCTGCCTGGGGATGGACAAAAGGCCCCTCTCCCCCGTAATACGTCTCTTCTACCAATAGCCATACCCTGTCTACCACATACCCACACCACTTTGGGCTACTTCTTGTCGATATTGTAGGAGTCTGCGATTCTCCTGTTTTCAGCCGCTTGGTTGAGCGACAAGCCTCTCGTGCAGCGCGACTTCTTCGTTCGCGCCTCCTTGTTGCACCGTCGCCTGCGTTGCGCCAAAGCGAAGACTCTTTTCTTCTGCAGCTTTTTTAGAGTCCTTGTATCGGAGTGGGGAAATATCGACAAGCACCGGACCAACAAGTTTCTTTTGTTTTGTCGCATCTTTTTGGCAGAGTGGATGCATGTCATGCATTTAATGAACTGGGAAGAATCAGTACGTGCCACTGGATTCCACTTTTTCATGAAGCATCCAGCTGCTACGTTCTGTCTGTGTAATGCTTACGTTTCCAACTCGTTTCTTTCGTTCCCTCGCGCACTTCTGCCACCTGTCGTCTTTCGGAAAGGTGCAACTCTGGCTTTACATGCCCATCGCGTTGGATTGCTTTGGGCAACTCTGCATCAAACGCACAAAGATTCTTACACACTAGGCACTGCATTTGTTCACGCAGTGCAACTTAGTCATTTTTCAATGTCTTTTCGTGCATGCCTCGGTCGTCGGTCATGGCGAGGGCACGGGGGCTCATGGGTTCACAGATGGCCTTAGGCTGTACAGTTGTCTTTTATTTCGTATGCAGTCTCTTTCGTGCTGAATCTGCTCCGGTTGTGCGTATATTTTCAGTTTACAAAAATGGCTGTAGAGTTCTTGAGCGACGAGATTCTTTTGCAAAGCAATGCGCGGGGGGTGGCCCTTCATCTGGTTGACGTGATCATGGACGAATTTCGCGTGTTGCTGGATCCCGAGACGCATCCTGCAGGGGTGGATGGTGGGAACAGTGGAGCAGCTGCTGGAGAGAAACAGCAGGAGGTAAGCGACTACCCGAAGGATTGTAGCATCGCCTTTTTTGCGGCTTTGTCGTAAATATCCGTGTGCCGTCTGACCAAACGTGTTGCGACACGGTAGGAAGGGAGACCAGGGTTGTAGCGAGTCTTTGATGGCAAAGTAGCGAAGCTTTATGCGCACCCAGTAGGCGTATTGGGAGGTCGCACTGGCCTTAACGCGCAGGGCATTCCGCTAGCTGACTAACTCGAAAGCATCCTGCGAGCTGTGAATTTAATGACCAGACTCCAGTGTACATGCGCATGATTGGGTAATGTCTTCTGCCGTAAAAGGGTCTGGTGGTGAGCCGCCGTCTACGCGCGTGTGTTGTATTTTCAGGAACGACTCCGTGCGTTTGCCTGGATTTTCGTGCCGTTTCTCCGCTGCTGCTGTTTCTCTCGAGATGGGCCCTTGGTCGCCCGCATTCATGAACGCGTGAGCGAAAGAAAAGCGTTTCAAGAGCTTAGACCGGCAGAATTGTGCGAGGTCTTGCATTGCCTGTCTGCACCTTCCGCGTTCAGTTGCAGTGTGGGCCTCTTCCTAAGTTTTTCGCCTACATGAATACATGGTCGTGGATATGCAATCGTGGTCTCTACATGCAAGCACATTCACTCTCCGCGGAGAGCTGTAGACTGTGCAGTTGTCTCCAGTGCTTCAGGCGGTTCAAATGCGGTGCGCCTTACTGGCCGGGTGTTGCTTACAGTGGTGTTCCTCGAGGGCTGTGGTGTGTGTATGCGCAGACCTTGCGAAAGTTGGAGGCGCAGGACGTGGATCTGCAGTTCGTTTCTGCAGCGCTATTCTCTTTGGCGAGCGACAAGTGAGGCCTTGTGTTTTGGAACATAGACGTTTTGCCTCCATAGCCTTTGGGATACGCGGAGCTTCCACCAACTTCGCGCGGTGGAATATAAGGCTCCCAGATATGCGATCTGCATGTTGTTCGTAATTGTCCATGTGTTTATGCGCATATGTGATAGTATACGCAGCCTTTCGCCGGCAAATCTGACTAAAACACTTTCCCCCTAATATATTGGAAAGACATTCGAGCCGTTCAGTGTCTGTGTCCTGGCGTCTAGGGGCCTCTTGATTTGGCATGCCCGTCCCGAATGGGTATTAGAGCAGGCCCTGAATGTGGAGTGCGCCCGCCCTTCGAGTAATCTGCGAGACGCTTGAGTTGTGTGCATGTTGCTGTCTGCACAGACGGCTTCGTAGTGAGAGCAGGAGGCAACTTTTTGCGTCATATGAAAAAATCAAGGATAGTGCGTCTTTGGCTGGCCTCGCATGTTTACTCTCTGATAATCCGTTCCGTTCTCAAAGGCCCGTCGCAGCTTGCTTTTTGCACAGCTCGACCATCTCCCACGGAGCCTATTTACGCCTAATTCACGCTTTCGGAATGGCCTGTGTTGTGCTGACATTTCCGCATGTGCAGCGACAGCCGAGGTCTCTCCCAAAGCACGAAGTTCGTGCGATCGCAGGATTGGCAGCTTTTCGTCTTCGAGCTTTTCGTCTCTGTTGCTGCAACGCGTCTTTGCCAATTTGGGCAATGAGCCGCAGCAGGAGCCGTGCGAAGGTTCAAAGGACCTCCCAGATACCAGGAAGAGGCTTTTTCTCGCAGGTGAAAGTGGAGATAGCGATGTGTTCGCAGTGGCTCAGTCAGAACCAGAGGTCTCGTCCGGTGTCTCGACAGCCGACATGGACGGAAAGCGGCCTGCAGTATCGCGAAAAGAGGAGAAACGGCCAAAGAAACGACGACGCCTGCAACATCAACAGCACGGGCAAGCGACCCAGATGACATCTCCGGAGACTCAGGCCCCCGAAGGGGACGCTCCGGCGCGAAAGGCTAAAAAATCGCGGCAGAAGAAGGGGAAACAGCCGAACAGCACAGAGGAGGGGCAGGGGCAGACTCTTACAGACGGGCAGGCGGCACAGGGTGGCTTGCGGCTCCCTATCAGGAGCAGCGGAGCTTCTAATAGCAGCAATGGTTTACCTGTGGCGCTGGAAGGGAGCGACAGGGCTTCTGTTACTGTGAGGCCTTCGCTTGTGCCTCCTGTGCACATGCACTCTGAAGAACAGACGACAACGTCGGGTAGTGACACTTCAGGGGAGCGCAGTGGGGACGTGGCTGTATCAGCGCAGGGCTCTTCCTCTGCTTGTGGCGAGCAGGCCGCTGAGGCTGGCAGTTGCAAGGCAGAGCAAGGCGGCCAAAATCTTTTGCGAAGAAGCCTCCGTATTTCGGAGGCTACTCCCGGCAGCAAGCGGGTCTTGTTCAATCTCAAGAGAAACAAGGTAGTAGGTACGTCCGGCGTGCTCTTCAGGGTCTAAGTTGGTCATCGTAGGGTGGAACTACCACATTTGGTGCTACACACTGCGCCTTGATTATGTGGTGTGTTGGTGATGTTTTGTTTCTCGTAGCTTTTTCGCGTCACGCTCCGTCTTTAGCGGTTGGCCCTGCCGTGTCTCCTTCGGTGAAGAGCGCGGTGAAAAGCCGTCAGTCGGAGCAGTCAGGAACGCAGCCGGCTGCAGGGGTGCAGGCTGTTGGGGGAATACCGCCTCCCCGGGGTATCCTGCGAGCTGCAAAGGAACTGGGCCCCCCCACGGGGGAAGAAGTGGCTCCCATGCCCCCGATTCAAAAGAGCCAGAGGGCCCCCTGGTGGGGTGGGACAACAGCGGAGCTCATGGCTATCCTCAGGCGAGCCCTTGCACAGCGTCTAGGAACACGTACCGACACCATGGGTCTTAAATCTAAAAAGAAAAAGATAAAGAAGGGGGCTAAGCGAACAGCGAAGCACAAGGAGACCACAGGGGAGTAGCAATAGCAAATGCATGAAGGTGGCGGTTGGTGTGTACCAGCATCCGAGGTGTTGCCGGATGGACGGGCAGGTTTACGAAATTCCAGGGAATCGTGAGGTCTGCTGGAATTCTGCTACTTTATTGCATAAGGCTTATTGGTCAACAAGGGCGGATACACCATTTTCAGAAAGTCATACACTTCTCTCAGTTCTGCCAGTTGCTGGTACCGTTGAGCCAGTCTTCGCGTATAGGCGGTAACATTCCCGCAAGTATCTATGGCCCTGTAGCTAGCCAGCTAGTTGGTAGGCCAGTTATTGCCACCTGTCGTCCGTATGACAGCACTTCTTCAGACTAAGCGATGCATTTCCACAGGGCCCCCTGTAGGGTTCCGACCTTGATAGAGGCAGAATGTGCGTTAAAACGCATTTGGTTTTGTGGTGGGGTGTCTATATGGGAATGCAGGAAAGCAGGGTCAATTCATTATGACTGAATAGTTGGCACGCTCCCTGCCCGGTCGCTGTACAGGCATATGCTCGCTGTCTAAGATTCCGGACGGAGCGCGTGGTCCGCACACCGATAGCGTGAGCCGCAGCAGTGTGGTGTTTACCTTCCTTGAGGCTAGAGTAAAAAGTATCAGACTTACCCCGAACACCTTGATGACCAGCAATTGTATGGGGAAATTGTGCCTTCTGGGACCCCTTCATCTAACAGTTGCCGTTTCCTGAAGCATTCGATTTGTGCTATTTGTGAAAGATGTTAATTATGTGGTTAGCATTGAATGGGCGCCGCTCGTCCGTCTTTGTGGCAAGTACCGTCCTCTCGACGCCCGCGCCGGTGGCCCGTGGCATCCTGTGTATTGATGCATCGACGAGCATGCATATATTGCCTTATGTGGCATTAGACAGCTCATGAGGGAGGAATGAGGAGGCAACCCCAAACGCGACTCTGCATTTGGGAGTCTCCGGCCTGAAGCTGTTGCCTCGCCGTCTCACAATGCCCGTGTATCCACCATCAGCCCTTCAATTTTGCCTGGCAAGCTACGGCACATTAGTGGTCTTTAGAGTCAATGAAGTTTCAAGAAGGAGGGGTAGAGTTGATAAACACACTTAGCCTCTCTAGCTTTACATCCTATGACATGAGTGCACATACTCGAGCTCGCTTCTCGTCGAGCAAGTGACCTCTTCACTGGCATGCGTCTTTCTGGCTTTTTCCTTCAAAGTAGCCCTTCGCTAACCTTTTGGTTTTTTTCATGTGCTTTGTCTCCTAACTACCGGACTTCGTGGCATGTGGGTCCATTCTTCCTTCGCGCTTCGCCCACACGGGGACTGGCCACCATTCAGTTGTTGTCGTGGCTTCTCTTCCTCATGTTCGCATATACTGCCAGGCATCTCGCTGTGTACATTATCGAGCATAAATAATGACTTGCGCTGATTCCTGGGCTGTGCCTAGCAGTATGCAGCAGCAGTAACCGCAGCCACAGGACCAGAGCGTTAGCACTCCTTCACTTCTTTCTCCATCAGGTATTGACTGCCTGTCCACGAGCTGAGGGCCCAAAGCGCTCCCACAGAGTCATTCGACGTGCGCCGCCACTCAAACGACTCGGGCGGGACCCGTGAAGCCACGGAGCATCCCTTAGAAGACAGAGCGTGGGCTCCCAGAGCTTCTCCACAGCTTGTTGTCTCTTTTATTGAACACCTCCTGAAAGTGTTCTTCGACTCACCACAAACCAACGCAAACAGCCATCAAATCGAGGAAGCTCAACAAAAATGGGAATCCATTGGCTCCTACACTAGTCCTGCAGTGGCAGCGCACTCCCAAGCTCCCTCAGACCGCCCTGGCACACTAAATTCATTTGATTGTTTGAATTGTCATTCGTTACAGACTCACAAAACACGTTTACAGGCAGCCACGTATTGGTGGGGCTATATTTTGTCACCAGTGTTGAAAACTTTTCCCACCAGACGGGCCAACTCCCGCTTTGAAAATATGCTATGGAGAGTGCCCAAATGTGTTTGTCGTTAGGTCGTCAGCTTTTATTCCCTCTGTCCAGATCACAAGGAGTTGCGACCGGCGGTGCATATTTACTGCCGCTTTCCCCTACACATTGATGACCAGTTTGACGTTGCAACCAAGCAGCACTGCCCTCGTCCAGTAAAGCTTTTACCCAGCGAGTCCATTCAAAACACTGAGGAGGAACAGGAAGGGCTAGTAACCTTATACACCAGGCACCGTCACAATTTTCCATTACGACCGCGCAGCCGCAACGCAAGTGAAGCAACCTTATCATTCCCACGTCTGCGTTCACACCACACCTCTCTGGTGGCCGAACGTACAGTGTACATTCTCCGCATAGCCAAACTACCCCATCTCGGGGCGACCCAGTGCTGTGGGCTGCAATTTTGCGGATATACCGGGTGGTATTTCAATATCTGGACCCCCAAAACCCTTATGTATGGATCTGCCGTACTGAGCGATAAAGCCATACACGTAATAACACGCATCTACGCTGTACATGTGGCACTTCAGTAGTACATGATGCTCCGATGAGCCCGCGATGGATGAACGGCGTTTTTGAGTGCGCAATCCGCAAGGTGATAATGCACCTGTTACGGTATCAATCTTTTCACTGGTTTGGTGAGACGGCTGCAAAGTATATCTTGTGTTTGTTGCCCAACACCTCGAACTCCGAGGAAAGAAGTGTATCCCTGTGTAGTTTTAGTCCAGGATTGTGTGTCACGACGTTCTTTCGCGCGCAATAGACAGCAGGAGCTGCGTTCGAACTGGCAACCAACCATTTGCTTCTGCTGGCGTAAGGCCAATGCGGCGGCAGTCGGTACTTTAAAAGTCATACCAAGTGACTCATTCCGCAACACTGGAATTTAAGGCACTATTCAAAGGGAGATAATTGAAATACGCAGTGATCCGATAAGACAGCAGTTTGGTGGCTGGTTTGCTTTCCGTTTCCCTCCTCAATACGAGCAGCGCGAGCTTACCCGTGACATCCCAACAATCCTTCGCCTCGGCTATACGCATGCAGTGCTGACTGCCGTGCTCTCCAGGTGCAGCCGGTTGCGTGGAACCGCATTGCGATCGACCCCCGAATAATAGCTGACCAGGTGTTGAAGAAGTGATCTTGTAAAGCAGCGTGTCTCCGAATTCTGTATAATAATGCAAAGCCTATTTCTCCCCCATTTGTGCAGATACCCTACTGCCGAAAGGCAATGCCTGCAAGCTGAGCACCAGCAAGCAGTAAAATTACTATTGCCTGAAAGGTTCGTCCCGTGAGCTGAATGCAGGTCCCGTTGGTCCCCGTGAAACTGACTGTTTCTCTTCCACAAGCCGGGCCAACATAATTAAGATACGAGCGCATAAAACTAAATTATAATGCAAAATCAGAATTTGATTTGGGTAGTTGAAACAATCTGCAACTACGCGAATAAGCGGCCACTGGCACCGGTCGTCCATAGTCTTAGTATCTTTTTCTTCCACCTGTGCGAAACGCAAGCTAAAACTTTAAAGCGGGGGCCGGAGGTGCCCGGGCGAACTCACTAACTCTTCGATCTCTGGCTTGGGATCAGACGTAGCCATCCATGTACCTCCACCGTTTCAATAGCTCATTGTGCCTGCAGTAAAAAGCATGAATTTCATCCAATATCAGCGTCTTCCTTCCGTCAATCGCAACTGGGCTTTGGATATTGCGTTTTGAGGTAATAAGGTATGCGTACCTGCACTGCTTCAGGGGAATTCCCGCCTTGAGACGGCATTGATTTTCGACCATACACAACCACAGCAGAAGTTCGCGCCGGTCATGCACCCTGAACAGGTACAAAACAAGACAGCAAGAGCCACTCAGGCCGAAAATATAGCAAGAGTTTCATATATGTGCAGCTACGTGGCTCGGTGCACTGCTCGGAAAACCAGCTGCACGGTCTACGCGCACTGCCTCAGTGTCAGCTTGTCCTAATGTTTATAATGAGCAACTCATTCAACAGCTCAGCAGGGAACTGAGGACTAAGGCCGGCGCAGGTGTAATTCGTTCATTCCCCATTTGAAAGAACGTATTTCTCTGGTAACTGGAAGCAGCATCTATCCGAGTGCAGCAGCATAACGCATCCGTCAGAAAAACAACCGCCCCAGGTTCTTTCACCGTCGCACTTTGGAGGAGTATTTCTGACTGCATCCGTGTAGCAGTTTGCAGCTGGCCCTTGAGTACACTGATCTGGAAAAAATTCAAAGAAGGAACGCAGCATCTGCTGCTCCTCTGCATTTGCACGCTCTGGGGCATATGCCGCGTAACTCCACAGCTGCACGATAGACACAGCCGCACCACGCAAAGCCATGCTGATGTAAACCGGAAGCAAAAGCCGTCCTGGACCATACTGGAGCTACACCTCAGTTCTGTTGCAGTACGAATTGAATTGCCGAATCCAAAATTCAAACAAGTGCTGCCTGGCTTCATAAGTGGCCCTCTACACGTAAGCCCAACTCTCCAAGCTGCAAGCCGCCCGCTTCGCCACTTAAAAATGGGTCATTAGATCTTTAAGCATGTTCTTAAGAAGCAATGCAGCAGAAAAGGCACGATCTCTCTTCTAGTCAAAGTGGAAATACCTATGTCAAAACATACGCATGTGTACACCCACATAAACACACGAAATACAAAGGCGTAGCAACCATACTCACCACTAGCCACTGGGCGTTGCATACGTCTTCAGGCTCATTTGTGTAGTCGCAAAAATGAAGCTGGGGGATCTCCTTCCCAGCATCTTCTGTGCCGCCTTCTCCTGGGAGTCTGCTACCTGCTGAAGAATCAGAGTCGGCAGCAGATTCACGCACTGGTGCGCCTCTCTGTGCCCCCTCAGCGCCTTCGATGCCAACGGGGTCTCCAGGCTCCAGGGGGGCACCCGATGAGGCTATGGGGGCATGTTGAAGCCTCAGAGGGGCGGCGTGCCTATGTCTTGGAAGGCTCAGCGTAGAGTTGTGGCGCGAAAGCATAAGCGAACTTGCAGCCCGTGCCAGTTTCTGCAGGCCGCCTTTGATCCAGGAGGCAGAAGAAATAGCAGTACTCGGCGAGGGGCACCTGAAGGTGTCCGCTGGCTCCATGGACTCGAAGACAAATGCAAGCAGTTAGCGGCTTACTGCATGCAGCTCGCGCTAAAAGATGCAGGGGATGCCCCTAACTATAGCTGCCTTCCGCTTAATTCGCAGAACACGGCAGAGTACATGAAGACGACGAACAGAAGGAAGCGGTGTCCGGAGTTGGACACAAGGTGAGCAAAATGGGATAGTACAAGCTGCAACATAAAAGAAAGTGGAAACAGGATCATAAAAACCAAGGGTAGAAAATGAAAGAGGAGATATTTACATGGGGCTCTAGATAGCCGTGCGCTGCATCTTCCTGGCTCTTGCGGAGCACTAAACCAAGATGACTAGAAATATAAGACTGTGGAAAGGAATATAATGTTATTTCCAATATTAAAAGTAACTAGTACTACAGCGATGTCGGGAATGCAGTAACGAATTTAGTTGCAGAATTCCACTCTTACTTTATTGGTCTGAGGCGTACATATCACGGCTCAATCACTAGTCGCCAATGCAGCGAAGTAACTACAAGAAAGGAGTAGCTTGTATCCTTTACGCTACATTTTCTTTCATATATAGCGGCCAGAGTGGAATTAGAGAGAATCGTGAATATGCACTGCACATTAGGGGCGAAAACAATAAGTTAATAAGCGCTATTCTCCCAGTCGTATTGAGGCGGAGGCCGCCACGGTAATCGAAGCAGACTGCAAGTGGTGCCTTTGACTTTGCAGGGTAGTCCTCCAAGTTTCCATCGGTTATTCAGGTGCATTTTCTCCTCATAAAGTCAATTTTACTTTTGCTTTTCCGCATTTGGCCCTCGCCCTGCCCTATGTTACAGCTGGACTGCGCTCTAACAGCTGCAAGGCTGAACCAAGAAGTTTGCTGCTCGCTGCATCCGGCCAGGCGGCTTCCAAAGGCTTGCTTGCATGTATTGCACGGGAATAATTCACTAAAACGGGTACATTAAGGACGGAGGCAAGATCCTGCATCATTGCCTTTCTCACAAAGCCACGGCTTGGCACGAAGGCAGGTAGCCTAGAGTCAGTATCGTGAGGATTTGTGGCCACAAAGTAACAGTTTGAGGGCGATACACACTACTTCTTATCTCTTAAGGATTCTATGAAGCCGTTAGGCTGTGCGAACGAGCTGTGCGTACAGCGGCAACGCCCTCACGGAGTCGTATTGTTTCATCCTTCTATCATTCAAGCGTTGATTTGCCGCCACATAGGATTGTTTACATAGCCAACACTTATGCTTTGCATCTAAGGGAGGAGGAGGCCTATTTTGGTTGAGGCGTGGCGCGTGGTATAACCGGCTTCGGTGCTCACGTCTCGCACTTCTTTGTCAAGATGGAAAACGCGCCAGGGTTGAACATGCCCTTTGTGGAGGCGGAGGATGTAAATATGTGGGCTCACAGGAGGCCTTGCAAGTTACGTACGTCCTTCAGATACCTCCTGAGTCCACTGTTTATCGAGTTCATTGAAAGTGTGCAAAGCAGCGAATGAACAGAAGTGGGGATCGTCGTCACTGAGTACCAACAAACCTGCAAACACGTGCCTGCAAAACAAGTGTATTTGTGCGTATCTGATTGTAACCGTGTGCAGGGTCGGCACAAGGCGATGCGGTATCAGAGGAATCAAAGACACTATTAGAAAAAGCTCAGGAGACAGAGCTGAAACCTGTACCCTTTACCACCCGGGTGGTTAGCTCGTTGATTGCGATGCTCCAGGGCGTGGAGGTGTTGTGCAATTTGGCAATTCTTTACTTGTTTAAGGACGACTTCAAAATAGATCCTGCGCTGCTAGCACTGGTCTTAGGGTCCCTGAGGCTCCCATGGACAGTCAAACCTCTTTGGGCTGTCATGGCAGACAACATGCCCTTGTTCGGCTATAGAAGGAAGTCTTACATCTTCCTTGGAGCCTCTATGTGCATCGTTGCTACACTTGGGATCGGCCTGGGGGGATACAAGTCGCTGGCTGCAACCACTGCTCTTCTTTTGCTGTATTTCTGGGGCTCCGCTGTGTGCAATGTCATTGGGGAGGCTCTGGTTGTTGAGGCAGGCAGACGAGACGCAAGCGAAGAGGGCACAGCACGCACTGTATCAGTCTTTTTTGCCTTCCGGAAAATCAGTTTCGCCACTGTCTCTTACCTCTCCGGGCTGCTCCTAGCCATCATGGCAAAACAGTACGTCTTCGTGGTCGCAGCAGCGCTACCAGCAGCCGTCGTCATTGCGAACTTTTGGCTGGAAGAGCCCCAGGCAAAGGTGTTGCCGGTGAAGCAGCAGTTTAAGGAACTCATAAAGGTTCTCAAGCAGCCAACGCTTCTGAATTCTACTCTCTTTATATTTATTATGATGGTAAGGGGGGAGAGGATTCGCGCAGGAACAGTCTGAAAATATGAATCCCCGAACGAGAGTCCAACCGACGGCTACATTTGCTCACTTTTTGCGGGTATATTCTAAAGACGAACGTTTTTTCGATGTAGTATGGAACGAAACTTGTTCGTTTTGTTTGTATATTCTACACCCTTTTTTGTTTGGCGTGTCAGGCGACTCCTTCCGCGGGTTCGATCATGTTTTACTTCATGACGAACGAGCTGCACTTTGGTCCCGAGCTTCTTGGGAGAATGGCACTCTTTCAGAGCATCGCGTCTCTGCTGGGAATTTTGGTCTACATGCACTTCTGCAGCACCACTTCCATTCGCAAGCTGCTCTTTGTTTCCACAGTGGCAATAACTCCGTTTTGCCTCCTGCCAGTTGTTGTGTAAGTTGAAAGAGGCTGGATACAGGCACAAAGAATCTGTTACACTGACGTTCTGTGCACCTGTTTTTCACTACATTAGACTTGTGTTCACATTTCTTCTGACACTGTTTTGTAGCTCTGTAGGCTCTGAAGAAAACATCGGGAGGGGGGGTCTGTGCTGCATGCTGGCCGTGCCAGTGGTGGGCGTTGTCATAGTAGTTGCCCCTCTAAATCTTTAGTGCACGCATTTCAGTGTAACCGTTTCTGTGACGCTAGATTCGTAGACCCCGTGGCGTGGCTGTGCATGTGTGCACATACAGAATTGAACGATGGAATGTACCCCTTGGCATTCCAGATTCAGTTTTCGTCGTGACAGACACTGTACTGATGGAATTCGTCGGTAAGCACACCTAGTTGCAAACAGGACACTAAGGGAAGAACTGCAACATGTGGAGGGAACTGTCGCACACAGCGCTCCCTCTTCATGATATTTCTTTTGGGGTGGAACTTAATTGGGAATTTTTCCTGGGAACTGATAAGACTGAACATTGTTCTTCTAAGCCTAAAGCGGAACTGCACCGATTTTCCGGTTTCCGGAGAGAAGAGCACGTAAAGCTAGCTGTGTTCTCTGAAAGGAGAAATGCACTGTTGTGTGTCCGTCGGGAGAGAGAAAAGTGTTTACCCTGTCGCATTTGGGTGCACTAATTTTGGGGGTACTCGTGATCTCTCTCTTGTTGTCTTGCAGGGGAATTCCAGGCGATGCCTATTCTGGTCTTGGCGGCGCGTTTGTGCCCCCCGGGCCTCGAGTCGACGATTTACTCGGTTCTTCTTTCCGCTTATAACTTGGGGCTGGGTCTCGGGTCCCTTGTCTCCGCAGGGCTAACGGCGGTACGCAGCGCTCTTGTGCCGTGCACTGCTGAAACTCGCAGCACTATTGCGAGTTCACCCGTGTTCTCCCCGTTTCTTTGTGTTCGTCATGTGTGCCCATCGCTTCTAAGTGCATCACACAGTCGTTCCCTTTCCTGCCTGTCTACGGGCGGACTGCAAGCAGAGTTATGCGGTGTGTTTCTGCATTCTCACCGTTGCGCAATTGCATTTTCGGTTATTATGACCCGCCAGGACCCCGTCTGCAGTTCAGTTCGGAGGCTTCTCGCGGTTTTCCTGTCGTCTCTCGATATCACCTCATCCTCTGTTGGGTATTTTGATTTTTGCATATAGGCCCTGGGAATTTCGTCGACGAACTTTACGGGGCTGTCCGCCCTCACAGTCATCTGTGCGCTGTCTAATTTGCTACCGCTTTGCCTTATATGGATGATCCCGGCGACTGCGGAGGCCCCGCTAGTGCCTGTAGTGGCGAAATCTACTCCCCATCTTCCCTCAAAAGCAGAGGACAGCGCCTCAACTGCAGCGGAGTCGGACGGCGGGGCTGCGGCGTCGCCTTCAAGCTCAGATGTAGAGGCAGGCAGCTCGTGGAGAGCCAGTACCAGCGGCCTCGTACGGCGAGGCACTGTTCAGGTTGTGGGTGGAGGCCCCGAAGAACGACTTTCCGGACTAGACTCACAGGACTCGTTCGCTGGTTTAGCTGGAGTGGGGCCTAGGGAGGAATCTTCGCGGAACCCAACCCCTCCGAGACATATCTTCGAATGCGGAGGGTCGGGCGAGTGCGCCTTAGCTCCGCAGCAGCGCTGGTAGCTGCAGCCAAGCAGGCGGATGATGGGTGCTCGATGCGTAGGAAGCAAGTCGGTGGTCTTGCGTTGCACGCAAACGCGGACAGACACCCGGATATAGCCGACCAGAAGCCTTGAGCAAGCTTCGTGCTCTGATGGCTCGTGCTCCTGAATTCCGAGGGTTGCTTCTCCTCGTAAATTCAACGCGCCCTCAGGGAGAGCCATGAACGCTTGATGAGGCAATGGGTGGCTCTAATAGCCTCGGAATCACTTCAAATAGGCTCGCCGTCTGCTTGGCCGTTCGCGAAGAGTAAGAGGAAAGGACAACAGGGAAGAGAGTTAGACGGGAAGCTCCGCGCGAGAAAGCTTATGGTCAATCGAAGAAGTACTTTTTCTTTCGTCCCGCACCACCCCACTCTCCCATTGGCAGTTCTGGTGCATTGCCCTTTTCTAAGGGGGCTTAATGTGCGTTCTCAAGGTCTCAAATACCGCACACTGTGCTGTGACGCTGGGGAGCGCGTTTTGGGTGTACCTTGCCTTCTGGAGACGTGTTGAAGGCCTTCTTCCGCATCGAAAAGTCGTGCTGCTGAAGGGAGCAAGCAGTTGACGGACATTGTGTGAGTACAGCTGTATTTGCCTGCAGCGCGAGAGCCACAGCTCTGGCAGAGGGACATAGCAGTCTTCGATTGTGTACTATCTCTACCCCGTATCATCAATACCTCAGCATTATCTGCGTAGAAAAATATGTTCGTTTGTGTATCTCGCCCCTGCTCACGGGGATGGGGTGGCTATGCACTTCACGTGAGCTCCCCACCAGTGCACTGGTCATCGCATCTGCCACTGGCACAGCGCTATAATATCGTTCTGCAGGCATTGTAGTGTCAGAATCTTGCTGAATTGGCATTTACAGTTCATTTGGAGAGTGTTTGCGATGCGGCTATTGTGCTGCCACCGAGAAGGGTCAATGTCTTCGGTGCATGGATTGGACCGTTGATACATGTGCTTTCACCAAAACTTACCACGAATGATTTTGGCTCACGCTTGTAGACCTAGCCGCAGTCTGTTACTCAAATGTCGATGCTCTCGCTGCATTGGTTGAGCGGTTCGTCATGCCGCTGACGAAATCCGCACACATTGAATACCCCATAAACGTTGAAGTATCTCCCTATTGTAGCAAGCAACTATTCACTCTAATGCCTGTTTCATCTGCAGCCACTGGGTCTTCTACGAGCCATTAGTGGTTATGCGTGGAGGCTGCAATAAGAAGTACCTTTGCACTTTAATGTAGTAGCGGAACTCATATGTGCCTTAGTGAAGAACGGGGATTTTCCATGCATCCCTCAGCAGAGCCATAAAAACGGCTGCTACATTCTTCTGCTACGTAATGACTGTTGGGGACCTTCGGGCCCACATGGGGCTTTGTTTGTCAAGCTGCTCCACTTGCCCTGTTGGTCGGAGCAACAGGCAGCTATGATTGTCAGCTGCAAAAGACTGAAACGACAAAAAAATATACCTTAAAGCCCAAGGAGGGGTATAATACTGCAAATCGGACCTACTAGTCCCCCTTGAATTGTAGGCGACAAAATGCATTCTCACCTTGGAATTGAAAGAGCAAATATCCTTTGTGTACAGTGCGAATCATGCATATACATATTGCAGAAAATTACCCGGACGGTCGAAAAGGCTCCTTGTGGGTGGCCTGGAGCCCTCGAAACGGGTGAAGCTACGGGACACTACTGAATGCGTGATCTGGCAGAGTTAACACCTGCTTTCCCATGATGTGCATTCTTTGTGATGGCCTTTTGTGTTAAAATCCATATCAAGCCTCACATTCTCACTGTTGCTTAGGCGCTTCTCTCATTTTCATTCCTACTATGCGTGCGCCATGAGTTTTCCTCTTCCCCTTGAAATTCGTTTGGTTGTAGAAAGCAAACGACACTGTGGCGCCTTGCCATACACTATTTAACGTTAAACAACAATTGGTACAGAACTGGCTATTTGACTTGGCTACTCATATCTGTCGTACACCAATTGCAGAGTGAAGTTAACTTCATACAATACGAATCAATTAGGTGTGGCTGACCCCCATGTGCTATCTGCAACTTGCTGTGAATGATTCATTAGCATAAAGAGTGCACTAAGTCGCACACTAGCTGTCCCTCCCTCCTATTTTGGAACTCTGAATTACACGGAGAAGAAAAGCGGGGGCACTTTTGGCGTGAGCACTGAATAACTTTCTCTTCATTTTCTTATAAAGTCTGGTGTTAGGCGTCTGCATAGTGAGACCTTAGGTGGAGCATTAGACTGGGAAACGTGCCGGATAGTAACTTTGGGACTATATAGAAGAGACTCCATCCACTCGACGTACAACCTTGTTCTCACTCCCGTGCAGAAATCACTAAACCCCAGGCTTGAAGGGGAGAGGACCACAGAGGTGCAACTAGCTGTGCCTAGGACGCAGTCTGCATCGTCGCATGCAAAATGTGGAGGGGTAAACCACACTTACACCCTTTGTACTACACTACCTACGTTTGACTAAGAATTAGTGGAGAAATGACCAACTGGTTAGTCTGTTCGTAGTTTTTTTCTGTTGCTGAGCACTGTGAGCACGATACGCAAAACGCAATATTGTGTGACTGTGAGCTAGTTGCACAAACCAACTAGCTCGCAAAGCTCGGAGTGCCTCGAAAGCGCAGTTACGCGTAGAGTAAGTGTCTTTTCTCTCTCACGTCGGGAACTCTCAAGGGCGCAGGCAGTGAGAAAGTGGGTGATCTTGTTCAGAGGTAAGAATCTTCTATTAGTGTATTTTGGAGTCTACAGTCAGCTGTGGCCCAACGAAGACCTAAGTAGAGTCTTATACGAACATTCAAAACCGAACCCACGCACAAGCGAGATGGCCCCTACACCAATCATAACCGAGAAACCGAGTAAGCGGAGAGGCTTTAACAGTACTGAAGGCCTGCAGGCGAATCGAGGGCTTGAAGCCAAAATGCCAACTAGTCCATGAATGCAGAATCCGCTAAAGCGGGCTCCGAGCAGGTAGTACGTGCATTTCAAGTTTAGATAATGGCCACTTGGGGACCCCTGTATGTACTCTCCGGCAGTGCAGCTCACGCTTGACGCGCTGAGTGCTGTAGCGGGCAGCTGCTCAGGTGTGATTTAGTGGATAGATGTGTAAAATGGAAGAATAGAGCCTCTAACTTCCATTGTCGGAATTGCATGCACTGAACCTGGCTGCGAAGCACCGAGTACAGCCTCTGCACGTTCACGTGCACTACAACTAGACAATTGTTATTCGATGAGCCAAGGGGTCGGGTGGTACCCCTTTATTGAACGGTTCACGCAGAAAGACGAATGTCAACTTATTGCCTCCATCGTTGTCTTCAAAGGCACGTACAGCCAGGGTTGTGGCACTGTGGAGGCATCCTTCTACACTGGGCTGCAAATACTGCACGCAGCTAAGGCTAAACGCCGAAATTGCCTCTTGTGACCCAAGAGTTTCCGGGTTTATGTGCACCGCTTGCAGCGCGAGTATCGAGTTCGCTTAGGAGCCTGCGCAAGCGCGCAGCGGCACTGCATGCCTCGGACAGACGTTGCAGACCCTATCTGTTCATCTACGCAGAGCACATCTGACAATCCCATCTTGTTTTCTTCCAATCGACAAATGGACTAAAAAGCTACCATTTTCGCGCCTTTCAGCCAAACGTCGCTCGAAGAGGGGCATCGCGGCAGTTTCCGCACCCTGTGCTTTCCCATACTTTTCCGCAGAGATCTTCCCATCGGCACGATAGCATTATTGCACTCTTTGAACATCTTCAGAGAAGTCCCAATTCCGAGCCTGCTCATTCCCTCCCCTGCGCGGGAATCCTCGTCGTGCATTCCGTCCGTAGAAACACTGGCCGAACTCCTGCGCCGCGGCTTACCTGTCACCCTTATTCTGCATTCTTACTCAACCAAAATGATACCCTCCAGAGCTGCAAAGAGCTTCGTGGGCAGTTTGCCCTCTACGATTCTTTCCCGCTCCAGCCGCGCCTCCCAAATGCGATGCTATAGCAAAGAAGTGCACGACCACTTCTTCAACCCGAGAAATGCTGGTGCGAAGAGACCCGTGGCACGTAGAGGGAATATGGATCACTTAATGCATATATATATGTAATTAGGCTGGAGTATGGGGAGAGAAAGATGCGAAAACCCAGGAGGCTATTAATGGTATCGTGTTTTACCCCAGAAGGGAAACGGCTTAGCTGGTCATTTCCTAAGCGCATCCAATCGGAATTTCCTGTATTTGCTTGATTCCCTTGGGCATCATCTGAACACTTGGAGCTCACAATTCTCAATTAGTGGTGGTGGCGTTTTGTACTACACTGATATGTGTAGGGCGGTGGACTGTGCGTGCTCTCATGTGCGGTCGAGATAGACTTTCTGATGATCCCTTTGTCGGGAGGTAAGCATCATCTGCTCATTTATTCCTATGGCTTCTCCCGTCTTTTTATTTCGTGTCTGCAGGCTCATTTGACATGAATGACCCTGCGAACAAGGGCAAAGTGGGGACTGCCATCGTTGGGAAGGCGGCTTGTGGTGACGTCATTAAGCTGCAGGTGCGTGTTTGAAGATGATGAAAGTTTGAGGCCTTGTTCTTGCTGTTTCGCTTCTGTACACGGGATATACGCCTGCTTCATTTGGGGACGTAGAGGGCAGCGAGAGGCAAACCAGGTAGCTTCGAGCGCAGTGCACGTGGCTATCATAGTGGCGGTTTGAGAACAACTAGAAAGGAACGGCTGCCGTACATGCATATAAAGAGAATCTGGTAGAACAGAGTAGTAGAGCACTCGCATCGCTTAGTTGTGTATGTGCTTGTGGAGGATCCCGTGATTGCGCGCCGGTCAGACTTTGGATGGAAGTTTCATCGCTTTATCGCAGGAACCCACAATATAGAGCGTCACTGAATGACAGGGTGAACTAAGTGTTTGCATCAAGTTGCATCTGCATGCATTCATGCGTATCTGCAGGTGAAGGTAGAGGGCGGAAAGATCACCGACGCACGGTTCAAGACATTTGGGTGCGGCTCCGCAATTGCCTCTTCGTCTTATGCGACTGAACTAATAAAGGGCAAGACGACAGAAGAAGCTTTGAAGCTTCGCAACACCGATATCGCATGTGCGTCCTGCGTAGTTTGAGAGGCAGACGGAGGGGAGAACCACGCAGTCGTATTTCTGTATACAGATGGATTGATCGGGGAGAGGGAGAAGAAGGCACCGTCTGTTGTCTGCCTGGCGGAGTAACTAAGATTTGTGCAGTGCGAATTGAGCGATCTGTTTTGCGCTGCAGCGCACTTGAATTTGCCGCCGGTAAAAATTCATTGCAGCCTCTTGGCCGAAGACGCCGTGAAGCTTGCGATTGATAATTACAACAGCAAAAAGCCAAAGGCGACCGAGTTTGATCAGTAGAGCGAAACCAAGTAGGAGAGAGTTGGTGTGTTTCTTCTTCGAAGTTAGCGTAATGTATGGAAGCAACGTGATTGCTCCTCCGCAGCGGACACCGCGTTCTCCTTCTGTGGCTCTCGCAGCCTACGTCTCGGCTGAAGCAAGGATGAAAATATGCATCCTTTCCTAGCGGGCAGGCTTGTGGCAGAGGACCAACACAGAGGCAGGCAGTGTACGCGGTTCATTTTATGCATGCTTCCCCTGTATAGTGGCTAGACTTAGCAGCATACGGCTGGATGCCCTATGAGCCCACGAAGGTGGAACGGCGGGACTTCGCTGTCCGTTGAAAGAAGCCTAGAAGACGGCTGCTTGGATATGTATATTGCCGGCGAGAGCATTCAGGGAGCTGGATCCTTAGTCTGTGATGGATGTTTCGTCCATTTATCAGCCGCAAATGAAGCTCGCTGTCTAATTTTGCTGCACCACTTAACTTTGCGGGTTGCTGGACATCTGCATGGGCACTTCTCATGCGTTGCATGGCGTGAGCTTAGAGTGCGCCACACGTCGACCCCGTATTCGATTTTGCAGAGTGGCAACAATATGGTGTACCATTTCTGCTGGGTGCACATTCCCCTCGGCGGCGCAGGCCAAGATTTTTGCAGGGAGTGGCCAGCCCCGCGCTTGCATTGGTGTAGCAACTGGCGCATCGTGACGCGCGTTGATTTGAACTGATTTTTGTTTTGTTACCGCTGTAGTCAATATGTTGTTCGCGGTGCAAGGCAAATGGGAGAGGCTGGGGAATGAAGGTTGGACGCGTAGTGTATCTATACGCAGTAGCACCCTACAAGCTATCAAAATATGACACAATTCCGAAGTTGAGTACTCGTTATTTGAAGGCTCAATGCAAGAAAGAAAGGCTCATGAGGGTCTTACTAGAGTGTATTCGAGCATCGTACCCGTGCTTCACGGGTGGCATTGTTTACTTTCAAGGGTCTGCCGCAAAACAAAAAGCAGAAAAATGGTCGGAGCGGCCCAGGCACGTGTAAAGCGAGAACTTGATGCGTCTCGGGTGCCTTGAATTAGCGCTGATATGGAAAGGTGCTGAGCACACACAAGTCTGCAGACAGTGCCTCTGGGTGTACAAGCACTGCGCAGGCAGCATCGCGAAGCCGCAAAGAGGTGTAGCAGCGACGGCGGGGCTGCCTTTTGAAGTCGCGCCAGTCGCTGCATGCCACCAACCGTAACGCACAGATGAAATAGCTGAAGGAGGGATATGCGAAGCTCCAGTGATCTGCATGCACGTGCAGATCTTAAAATAGCCTAGGTCTTGCTTTATTAATCGCTGTCCTTTCTTCCTGTTTGATGTTCCTGGCCCATGCAATCAACTGCACAGTTGCCAAACAAGGAGTAGGTGGAGGTATTCTCCCCAAGAAACCTATGCCGCCGAGCAGCAGCAGCACACCCACCAGACGTGATGTCAAAAACGTTTTAAAAAACCATCAAGCCGTGGCAGTGCGGTGGTCTGCAGGCGGCCCCGTCAGTTGCTTGTTGCCCATTGTCTCTCTTGACGCCGTGTAAGCGCACGGCAGCTGGCAGAGCCATTCGTAATCCGTAAATCCGAGACACAAACCTCCGGTAGAAGAAAAGCAGAGGAAGATTGACACAACGGGCCGAAGTGTATGATTTCCCGTTTGTGCGTCTGCCTTCACGTTTGTTACTGTCTGATGGCTCATCTGATTCGACGTTTAGTCTTCAAAACCAGGAACATCGCACGCTGCGGCCGCAGCAGCAACAGCCGCGAGGAAGTGCTCTCCAACGGACGGATCCGCCAGTTCTTTGATTCCTTCAACTTCCCGAGCCTGCGCATTCTCCCCGGCTGTCCCTACACTGCCTCCCGTAAATGCGCCAGGTTTTCGATGGATCGCTTGGCTCATCAGTGTCAGCATATCATTGTAAGTAGAACCTGCCCCATGAGTTCTAGGGAGAACAACAGCCCCCTCTGCTGCTGCTGCGGCTGCAGGCTTGTTCGCGATACATTCCGCATCCATTTTCATGCTGCCAACCAGATCGCCTTCTTTAGACGCGCCAGTTTCCAGGCGGTTCGCAGGCCGCGGAGAGATGCGAGGTCGCTGAGCCTCGGCCCGTCTCCGCTCAACTGTGGCTTCCTCCCCTCCCACCTCTCCGCTTTCGCTCTTGCAGACGGAAGTCGAGGCAGAAGGATCTGCGGGGGACGTGGAGGTGGCGTGCGCCAAAGCTGGGGAGTTCACAATGGGCTTAAACACCGCCAACATGCCCTTCTGTAGTGTATGCGCCTCCCCACTGAGCAGCTTCTCGAGGCGGCAGTGCATCGCCAAGCCGCGCGCCGTTTCGTATCCGTATTTTCCTGCGATACATAATGCACAGCCAGAAAGGATTGAAAATGGATAAACAGGTCGCTCTCGCTGCCGGCACAACGAACGCCAAAGTGAAAACGATAGAATTAAAAGGGCACAGAGGATTCAACGCCGCCGTTAGTAAGCACTTCTTTTTTTGGAAACGCAGAGGGTGCCCCCTATTGGACAAAATCTGTACTCCTGCTGCGGTCTTAAAAAGGCCAACTCCGCACTGACACCGTGCCTGCGTCTTTGTCGCCTACCTGCGGACCAGGAGCGTTGGTATTCTTTACCATTTCTCGACCACGTGCACACCCATCTGTTCAGTGATCTGTTGAAGAACACGCCGCGCATGGTGGAGGACAGAGCGGCCGGGAAATCCCCTTCTGCACCGCTTGCGAGTTTCATGAGCTGCTCCGTCAAATTCGGAGGCAAAGAAGTGGTGCTTGGATCTTGCTGCGACCCTCCTTCGCTTGGAGAGAGCAGCGCGGGAGTTCGGCCACGTGTCTGCTGCGGGTTGTGCCCTTTGATGGGAGTCAGCTTCCCGCGCCCCCCCCCTCCTCGAGGAGGCAAGATAATGCCGTCTTCAAAGGATTTCCTGCCTTTTTTGGCAGCGCTCCGCCGCAGTCCATAGCCATGCTTCTTCAGCTGGCCATCTGACGCAGAGGCAGCGTCTCCCTGAGTTTCTTCCGCTTCAGGGGTTGCTGCAGGCGCTGCAGAAGGGTCGCTGGCCACTGCAACCTGTTGCTGCAACGCCGCAAGCTGTGCCAGAGCCTCCCCCAACGACTGCTCGCCTCCCCCAGACATCTTTCTCTTGGCACGAACGCTGCAAGAACTCACGGAGTCGCTCTCCCCCTCAGCCATCGGCCCCGAGCCAGCACTGCCTCCGCAGCTCGCACCGGCACCGACTGCTTCCAAGTGGCAATTCCCAGCCTCTGGCTGCTCCGCCGATGATGATCCATTGAGAAGGGCTTGCTTAGGAGAGGTATTCTTGTGAGGTGGTGCAGGCTTCACGGCCTGCTCGCTCTGCAGCTTCTGCAGCACTTCCCCCAACAGACGTGTGCCCCTCTGCGCCAGCCGCTCCGGGCAGCAGGAGCTCAAAATTTCTGCCTGGATATTGGGGTGTCGTCGCTTGTTCACACTGGCAGGAATAAACGCAGGAGGCACTCCCCCTTCTCGCGGATCCGCCGCCACTCCGTTGCTTGGCAGCCCTCCCTGAGGTGCTAGAGACAAGGAAACTGAGGAAGAGGCCGCATTCAGATCTCCCACGGGTGGCTTTCCCAAAGCATTCGAGGAAACTGCCCGAGTTTCCACATGCGCCTCTCCCTGTAACATCGGCATCGTATTCCCCGCGCTTTTTGGCCGTCTGCTGGAAACCAAAGGAGGCTCTGCTGCTAAGGCACGAGGACGCTTGGGTGGCTGCGCCAGCCCACCAGAAGAGGAAGGCAGCGTGTTGGAATCTTCAGCCTCCTCAGAAGATGGCATGCACGCCGCAGGACTGCTGGTCATGCATTCCTCTGCTAAGACAGTTGCGGCCTTCTCCATCTCAGCCACGGCGTCACCCCAAATAGTCTTTGGATCCAACTCTTCGGAGGGCTTTGGGGGAGAACTCGCCTTCCCAGGCGCGAGGATCCGCTGCAAACTGTACATACACTCCAGCGCAGATACCACCTGAATGAAAACTGCTGCTGGACACTTTGACACCATCTCCGCAATGGGTGCCGCGGGGATCGTCCCGTGGCGCGCCAAATAGCGCAACGTCACCGAGAGAATACTCTCTTGCTCTTCTTGTCTACCGGACTTGTCCTGTTTCTGCTCCCTGCTGCTGCTGCCACCTCCTCCGTCACTATCATTCGAGAAGAAGTTCATCGCACTGCAGACGGGCAGCAGAACGTCGGCGTAGCTCGCCAGCGTGGGGTGAAGGGGCCCCCCCGCTATGCGCTGCACATGCATCGAGTAAAACGCTCCCCCGTCCTGGCGTCTCAGGCCTGGCACCACGTTGCAGACTTGATCAAACAGGAGAATGAGCAGCAGCTGAAAGTCAACCAGCAAGCGATCCGCATCGGAGGAACCTGTGTCTTCCCCAGAGAATGCCACTGAGGACGCAGATGAGAGGGGCGCTGCCGAACGCGGCGGAGGGGATGGGATGGAAACAGATACAGGCAGACCAGATGCTAAGGCCTCCTCTTTTTCCGGAGAATCAGCTGGCGATGACAACGATGGATCCCCTCTCACGAGAGTGTCTCCTCCTGTGGATACCGCCGAGCTGGACCGGAAGAACTCGGGGGGAGCAGCAGAAGCCTCCTCCATAGCCCCTTCCTCACCGCTGCTTGCTGCTGAACTTGTAAAATGCAGCTTCTCGCCCCTACCGCCGCTGCTGTACCGACGATGGCTCATAGCGAAATCGGAACCGTGTTGTGCTCCTTCTCTGTCCTCCTTGCCTGGGCTGCTGGTGCTGTCGTGAGGTCTAATGGGAAATGCACTGCCTCCATGCACACTGTCGGAGGAAAGCCTCGCAATCGCTCCCCTCTGATTTGACTTTTCTGCCTCGTCTGTCTCCTGTGTGCTTGAGCCATTCAGTGGGAAGGCCTCTGCAGCAGGGGAAGTCGTGTGGTGGGTGCACACGGTTGCGATTGGGGAAGCTTGTGCGCCCCCATTCATTTCAGGTGACTCCATCGCGCCAAAGAACTTTTCAAGCGGCGTGGAAAGCGAGCACTGCACATCGCTTGATACAGACAAAACACGCGGCTGTAGTGTCTCCGGGAAATCAACGGGAGAGCCGGAAAAGAAGGGTGAAGAAAGATAGCTGCCATCAGGAGAGGTCGATGGAGCCACACTCTCCTGAATCACAGATGAATTACGCCGGGTTCCAGATAGAGAGGATCCAGCTGTTGCTGGTCCCCCGCCCCCCGAAACAGGTGCATCTTTCCTCTGTTTGCTGCAGCATTCAGTCCTAGCCTCTACATTCGCCCCAGCAGATAATACCGAAGCGGACATGCGGCCTGCACGCATGTCTGCCTCCAGCGGGTCACCGCAGGCTGTTGCAGTAAGCTCTTGCTGTTTGAGCAAAAGCGAAAGGTTGCTACTGGTGCCGCTACGGAAGGCAGACGGTCTTGAATTCTCTCGCTCAGGTGTCCCCGCAGAGGCCACCTCGAGCGCGCACAGGGGAACCGAAAGCCTATGATCCCTCATCTTAAAGACGGCAATACGATGTAATGAGAGGGACCAGACCGCTGTGGAGACGGAAGCAAGCAAGTGCCAGACGTCTGATTATCCTAGCAGCTGCAGCATCAACACAAGCCTCCCGTCTTGTCTCAAGTTGTGGGAGGGAGCAAAACGCTGCAGCGCACTGTCTGGCCTCCTCCGCTTGCCGGATCTCCTGAATAGGGCTGATGTGCGTTCTGAGCTAAGCCTCCTCCGCGGAAGGGGGCGTGACGAAAGGAGTGAAGCGCCCCGGCAAGTGCGAAAAGGCTTGTGCAGCAACTTTAAAAGCTGCTATTATACCATATGGAGAGGTGAGGGGCCTTTGGGTCGAAAATTTTGAGTGTCAGGGGAGAATAGTTGGGAATGGCCGGCTAGCATATCGAGAGCTGCGCCTACACCCCAACTCCAGCAGCTGAGTCGTTGCGTTGCAGCGCCTGCAGAGGAATGAAAAAGCTTTTGTAAAGGCAAAACGTGCCTAAATGAGGAGTGGAACAGCCAAGGGAAGGCAGTGAGCGATGAATGGGAGTGTATGCCGAGTTGAACATCGGACCCCCCCCCTGGGTTGGCAGGTGCCAGACGATGGCGCGGGACTTCTTTCTTAGCGCGCAGAGGGTTTTGGATGCGTTTTGCCTGTGGAATGCAGGAAGGAGTAAAAGACAGGAAATTATGGTGATGGGGCTTCCAACGGCAGCTCCCTGATACGACGATGCATCTCGCCCGGTCGGTCGAGGCCTGGAGCTGAATGCAAAAGAGTCTGGGAGCCACTGGGAAGAGATTTGCCGGGAAAAGGAGAAATAATGCAACAGTAAAGTATCCCAAGAAAAACAGGGGGGAGAGGTGACCAAACCGATGCAAGGTAACGTCTATAACCTGCAGAGGAACGCCTGAGGTGTTGCAAGTGGGTGGCAGGGCCCCCCGTCTGTCTGGTATGCTGTTGTCTCGCCGGTCCTAGCTGAGTCTTGGATAGAACTTGATTCCTTTATGTATTGTTTATGCAAAGCATAGGATAATTACGAGATATACAGGTAGAGAGTTGCAAGGAAAGGACAAGCATTGAACAATTCATGTCCAACGTGCGGCGGCGTACGCTGTCATGAGCATCGCGGGCTGCCACACTCCCAGGGGTGAAGAAGAGAGGCTGCGGAGTTACCGGAGCATAAAGAAAGAATTCGAATGAAAAGAATAGCATAACAAGGCTGGAATTATGGAACAGTGCCTGAAATCCGGAGTTAAGGACAGATCGTGTGTCGGCGGCAGCACGCAGCCCGATGAGGCGGCGGCGCTAGGGAGTCTCAGCCGTCTTTGAGAACTACCACCAAATTAAGTGCATTTCCGGGTAAATGCCCGCACGCTTTTACTTTATTCTGTAGTCCCCCGGCAACGGAGCTAGGTGAACAGCTTTAGCGCGCGAAATCCTGTGCCTGGCAACCCTGTGCAGAGCAAACTCAAACGATGCTCAGGACCATCCCCGGTGCCTATTGTGCAAATTCATCTTCATTTTGTTTGTATTGGTGTGCTCACCACATACAATTTTATTGTATGATATGACTGAGAAATCCCCACAATTCTGGGACCGGGTATAATTGCTACAGGCGTCGCATTCTTGCACAGCGACTGCCTCCCAACCTCCGATAATTGAGAAAGCGCTGGTTTTTCCTAATCGTACGAACAATATCAGTATATACTCTATAAAAGAGGTCCTTACAGGTTCAAGCGTACATACAACAAAAATTTTCGCAAATTACAGCAGCAAGAGCGGATTCCAGGGAAGAATGAAGCAGGCGCGATAGAACTGCATCACCCCAAAGGCAAGCCCTTCCTACCGAAAGAATAAAGCAGTATATGTGTATCACAGCAGTAAAGTTGGCAGAATAGAGAGCAGCGGAGTAAAAAAAGAGGCATTCCCTGTCTGCGCATTCACACGTATCAAACTACCCATACATCAGTGAATTATATGCACCTGATGAAAGGTTTATGCAAATGCACATAGCTAAGCACTGTAAAATAATTTTTGCATTGTATTTACTTGCCTCCAAGCCGAAAGCCCTAGTCAGCGCTAGTAAGCTTATGGTATAGACTTTTTGCCGGTAACTATCAACACCCAGGGGCTGCATCGATACAGTAGCTGCGTGTGTCCCTCAAACCCGGGGCTTGATGGAACCATTTTCTCTTAGCGGAATCCATATGCTGCCTTTTCCACCAACTTCTTTCATACTCGTCTCTCGGCCGGTAGGAGATCACGCTGGATGATGGATGAATTCAGAGAGAGTGGTTTGCAGGCAAATATTTTCCTGTTTTGTCTCAACGAAAAACTTCGCTGATCGTTTGGCATCTTGTGTACAGCTAGCTGTAGAGAGCCCTTGCCGTCTTTCTGGGTGTACTATGGGACATCGCTCTCGACTCCCAGAAGCGTGCTGCTCATGTATTCGTGAAACCCAGATCCACATGCGCCGCATACCAAGCCAACGGGCCCTTGCCGCCTCTCTCAATCTTTGGGCGTGTAGGCATGCTGATCTAGATAAAATAGTACATTCAGATGCATGCGCACATGCGGCCCCGAGCAGATAACTTTTCCTCTTATACTGAAGTCTTAGCAGCATACATGGACAAAGCTGTTAGAACGCGCCGGGATATGCTAAGAGGTTATTAACAGTAAAGCTGGGACTTCAGATGCTGCTGGAGTGTTCTTCTGCCTCAGGCTGCCCCACTTCCTACCAGGAAAGCTAAGAGCTTAAAGTATCGCTTGGTCGCTTCTGAAACAGCAGAACCGGTTTACAGTGCCGACTACACACACAAAATCAAAACTGTAATCTAGAAACAGAGCGAGCAAGCACTTTTTACACTTCTCCGAGCATTTAGAACACTACAATGGCATTATGTCTGCTATAGGCGACTGTCCCTGTGCTACCCTGCTGGGGCCACTGGACCCAGTACCCCATAATGAGGGTGCGTGGTCCAGAGAAGTTCCCAGCATTAAAAATGAAGGAATGTGTTCTATATATGCCGATAGCAGCGTGCAGGTCAAGCGTATATCAGACTCCCCGGCTAGGCGGGGCAAGCATAGATTCTTCTTTCTTCTACACTGCAGAGAGGAGTTATGTGGAAGCAACGGAAACCAGGTCAGAATCGTCCTACCTTCATCACTCCGCACCTCTTCTTCAAATAAGTAAGGGCCATTCGGATGTTAGCAAGTGAAAAGAATTGGTACCACGACAAGAACCTTGGTGTCATTAGGTTTGCAGCTGCATAAACGCACTTCTACATGCTGGGAAAGGAAGAGTGACTCTAAAAAGACCAGCTTTACTGCTGACCTTTAGGTTATGCAGCTGTGCTATATGCCAATGAAGCTCTTTGAGTTATTTGTTTTTCGCATAAAAATACCAGAATCAGCATGCAGAAAAACCATAAGAGGAAGACAAGAAGTCCACATGGCTATGCTGGCAACAGAACACTGCGAGCTTATGAGTTCAGGCGTGCTGAACTCTCGATCGTGAAGTTTCTCCCCAATGTTTCCTTTAAACTGTTTTAGCACGATAGGGACTCCCAGGTAAGTAAGTATGGTAAATGCTAGAGTGATTACGAGCACTTGCCTTTTTCGCCTTGTGTATACTGGAAACCATCTAATTAGGCGAACGCACGGCAGCGAAACATCGTGGTTGTGGATGTGTGAACAAATTCTGGGAGAAACTTGGTAGGTGTCCGCTTTAAACAATGAACGTAGTTCTCTTTTTCTTTAACCCTTTATCAGAGATTTGAAGGACGCAGCGTACACTATTGCGCCAGGCTCGTCTCAAGGACAAGTAGTTACAGCTATTTCTCTTGGCATTGCTAGCTGCAACAGAATTTAGGCGCATTTTCCCACGACTTTAAATGCAACGGTTCTCCTTGAAGCCATGCAAAAATCCACAACCTAATAATCTTTTTTTACATGATTTCTTCCTTCGTTAGAGTAAGATAAGTGCTGTACGGAAGCAGAACAGCTACTCGGTAGCGTGTGGCGTCTGTCCCCCCATGTGCAACGTTAATGGAGACGTGGAAAATCGAAATTCTGATGTTTGCACTAGCTGCAGTCTGACTTCGTAGTTGTAAGCCTTTTCTTTGCTTAGCTGCTACTTCCTATGATCAAGGAAGGAAATCACGCCATGAAGAAGGCTGTGTTATTATTTGGCGAATGCCGCATACGGTCAAAGGGATAGAGTAGAAAACTTGAATAAAGCGCTCAATGGCTCGTTTGTATACATATGTGTAAGGTGCTCCAACCGATTTAGACTATCCCCTCTTACTGCAAAAGATCGTTCTTTCATGTTGATCGCATTATAATTGCTGTGGGAACAATTTGCAGCAACAAGTCCATTAGTTTCTTTTCATTTCGTTTCGTGTTGGTCTGTTTCTGAGAAGACATGAAATCTCCTCTAGTTTGCTTTATTGGCAGGTGACATGTGACTGGGACTCATTACGATGCGGTTTTACGGTTTTACTGAAACATTTGGCACATAGCCTGTGGGGCACAGGAGGTAATCTGCCTATCGCCGCGCCAATAGTTATCTGATCCTCTGTGGACCTAGGCTCTTTGGAGACTTTTTGGTAGCAACTTATAGAGATATATGCAGCCCCTACTGCTCTTCTTTTGTGGCTGGTCCGTACAGACATCAGAAAAGTGCTCAATCTGTACACGATGCCCTTCAAATGTAAACAAGAAAGACATTCTTTTTATCACATCATGAAGCCTTCTCTATGGACATCAATATTTGCACAGTGTCTATGGCTGGTGCACAGACACCCGAATCATTCACGGCCGAGTACGATGCCTGTACACTCTCTATGTCTCCTCGCAATCTATTACAGAAGGGCCTGCAGTAGCCCATTCACCCTCAGACACCCCCAAAAGTCCTTTTACTAGTAGATTTATGCAAATTAAGAGCGCCAGAGACTCTTAATGTAGTAATATGTGTTCAAACCGTTCCCTGTTTCTCTGAAAACGGCTTGTTCGAATTTACGGCGGCATGCTTCTACACGTGCCCACATAAGGAACGTGCAAAAAGAAGCTCATTGGTTTATTCTTTGCTAACGAATCCTCCTTCCGTGAATAAAGCTTAATTTTAGAAAAGAAAGAACCAACGAAGGTGCAGCATAGCAGCAACAGCTATCTTTGCTGCCCTGTCAGGCAGCACCGCGGTGGCCTGGCCTCCCCAGCCGACAGCCGTTCTGGCGCCGTGAGCTGCAGCTGGAACAGCGAGAGTTGCCTCGTTTTTGTCTATCCTTTAAGGTGTTTTCTTTGCACTTCTTGTGCTCATGTTGTTTTGGAATTGCTGGAGATTCAGCAGCCCTAATCCCCGCTCCGGACCCCGTCAATCGACGCCCGTGCGCAGTGCCGCTCGCTGGCCGCCTAGCTGCTCCTGCAGGACTCTGCCACTGGTGTACCTTCACACTCCAAAGGCTTCAAATACCAGGGATTCCGAACCATCTGGCTCCAAAGTGGGTAGTGCGTGTTCTTGCACCGCCGCGAAGTCCCGTGTAGCAGCAACAGAAGCGGAAGCTACAGCTGCCGACAGACAGCTGACTACAGCGCGACGGCAATCGACGCAAAACAGCAAGCAGCTGGATCCACTTTCCCTTCAGCCGGTTGACTCAGGTACTCTGGGACGCTTTAATTCCTAAGGGCTCAAGCGGTGCGCTGCGCGAGCACTGGATCGACACAAGAAGCGGCGAACTACGGCGGCTGCGGTGGCAGACGAACGCCCAACGGCACTCAAAGGGAAAATCTGTTTCAATCTCCTAGCCTTCTGAGCGTGAAATCAGAATATATCACAAAATCTGTCCAGACAGTGCAAGTAGGCACTCTATTTCTGCAGGAGTCGCCGCAGAGCCTCCGACCGAGCCGCGCGGTGTTCGCTGCGCTCAGGTGTATATACACAAGCCTCCAACTTCCATATACAGACATATGCACAATTATATACCTATACGACTCGCTCTCATGACAGGCGGTGGCTGAATTTTCCTCGTTTGCTTCTGTGGTATCCTAGAGTTCCCTTGCATCCGTTTTGCTCCTACGAAGACATGAGACCGCATTCTGCAGTCTGGCCGTGCGACACGAAGTCGGGGGGGCGGCTGCAGGCGAATTCCACTCGACCGTGTGTCTGGAGCCTGGCGTTTCAGTCTTCCGCGCCTCCAGACACCGCTCGGGCCCCTTTTAGTGGTCCAAAGCGGCATTACAGGTGACCTCCTCAGTCGAAATAACTGACGGTGCGCACGCGTTCTTCCTGTGGGTTTCCATCCAGCAGCCCCGGTGGCAGCAGGCACAGCAACAGTAGCGGGAACTATCATCATCCTACAAAAATTAAACCGTGCCCCTGCTTGGTTGCCCGCCTTCAGGTCAGGTGCAGGCATCAGCGGGCGAGGTTTTCTAGGTCATATGTGGAGACCTTGCACAGTCCATCGCAACCGCAGGTTGGATAAGTTTCGTTTGGTTTGGGGCCGAGGGCCATCCCTTGAAGGCCGTCTGTTTCTCCACCCATCCTGTTTCCTGCATCTTCTTCCCTCAAAAGAAGAAGCACAGTCTTAAATCCGAAAGTCTAAAGGCAGAAGAAAACTGGTGTCCGGAAAGACCTCAGCAATCAGTGGTAGTGGAGGCAGGAAAGACATCCCGCTCCTCCCCCATACGAGCTGCGGGCCGAAAGGGCGCAGCCGACTTCAATCGCGTTTTGATGTGTGTGGGACTCTTATAAAGAGGATATAAACTTACTACGTGCGTGGGCATGCGTGCGTGCATAAGGGCATAAAGTTATGTGCGCATAAATATGCATTCATGCATTCAATTATATAGACAGCATCCATAGGCTACGAAGGGAATCCAGCAACAGGTTTTCGCCCATCCCCTTCGGAAGCAGTGACAAGATCCCCAGTATTTGCATTGCGATCACTGCGTCAGCTCTGTAAGGGCTATATATAATATATTTCACATCTATTGAGCAGCAGCAGCAGCAGCAGCCGGAGAGTAATTTTGAGACGAGATGCAGGCAAAGGCTGCAGGTGCAGCGGCCCCGCCGGAACGAGAGCCGTGTAATGTAGCAGCTCCCCCTGGCCTTGAAGCCCTAGGTACTGCACCAGGTTTTGGTGGCTGCACAACAGCCATATCAGCAACATCCAGCAGCCCCTCAGCAGCGAGGGAGGGATCTGAGGGTCCCCGTAGGCTCCCCCTCTCCGGGTGTACCTCCTATCGTTCCGTGGCAGCAAGGGCGCTAACAGACGGTGCAGGGGGAAGGAGGGACGCAGGTGCGGCGGCTGAAGTGCAGGCTCCAGCTACGCCACCATACAAGGGGAGAGGCGTGACGGTCTCTCGATCCGCAGACAAACTGGCAAGAGAGGAAAAGGGTCAGGGATCTCGATTAGGGGTAGGGGGAGGAGGATATATGGAAACAGGTGCTCCTCCGTTTGCTAATTCCACCTCATCAGCAGCTTCTTATTCATCGTCCTCCTTATCTGCAGCAACGCCTCCTTCCTCCGCTTCCACCTTTCTTCCTGCATCAACCCCATCCTCCTCTTCGCCAACGATCTCTCTTGTTTCTTCTGTTTCCTCTTCATCTGGTGGCCAGTCGGGGCAAGAAAAAACACGTCGCACGCAAGAAGCGCGCTTGCAGGCAGAGATTCAGTTGCTCTGCCCCTTGCCCGTACTAGACGAATCACTAGAGCATCCGCAAGAGCTCCACAAACTCAAGACGCTTTTTGTTGACGAGACGGTCAAAGGGCTCCCGAGACGTAAATTTCCTTTCACCCCTCGATACGCACCTCCACGTACTATCCTGCCTCTGTTTCTATCAGTGCCATGCTAACTGTAACGGAAACTGTGCCGGAGGGTACGACGGGCTTCTTTAGTCTATCTCTAGGGCTAGAGGTCATGGGTATTTGCATGCACTGATGAGAACACGCTTGACAACAATGTGCGCACCGTCGCAGTGCTGGGGTTCGCGGCTCGGTAACGTGGGATGGATATACGAATGTATGGGTACAAGGCCTATCGATGCTCCTTTCCAGTTGAACGAGGCTGCTGTCTCCGAATCCTGTCTCTCGCCGTGGGGTATAGCACGCATTGTAGCGTTTACGTGTGTCTCTCCTTCTCCTTTTCTTCGCTCTACGCAGGTCGCTCACCCATCGATCCATCTACCGGCCGTTTGCTGTACTGGGATCGGCCATGCTACGCCTTTGACTCTCGAGGGGCTTCGTGCGCCTCGGGGCTAAGCTGCGCCTTTTGCCATACGATCGAAGAGCTCCTGCTTCACCCCGCGCGGTTCCGGTCGGAGCTTATCACGTGCAGCAAAGAAAATAACGCTTGGCATGCCGCCTCCTCGATTGCGGAACTCCGCCTGAGAGCTCCCGAGGCGTACGGCCTAGAGGCTCACCTGAGGCAGCTGCATGACGGGAGCGTGCATCCCCTTGAACGAGTGGATGAGACCACCGCCCCACAGGAGCCAAAAGACAGATATAAAGATGACAAGAACCATGGGAAAGTCTGTAAAGACGCAGGCACGCCGCAAACTCCCAAAAGGACGCACCTTTCAAAGCAGCAGCGGCACCAGCAGCAGCTGCAACTGCAGCAGATCCTGAAACACAGCTCGAATGGCGAACCGCGGGAATCGCGAACAACAGCGCAAAAGGCCAAGCAGACTGCACCCATAGAGGAGGCTCGGGCATACAGCAGCAGCAGTACGGAAGCAAACAGTGTGGAGGAGTCTTGCGGTGGCAGCAGCTCGGGCTGCTGTAGTGGAGTGGCGGACTGCCGGGTCCCCCGGTTCGAGTACTCGATTGTCGGATCTCCCCTCCCTTCTTCCTCCAGCGTTAGCGGAGAGGGGAATCTTTTGGGCAGTGGCAGCGGCTGTGTCAAATGCAAAGCGCCTTATGCCGAGGAAGATGCATCTGCAGTTTCACAAAAGGTGCAGCTGCTGGCACAAGAAGCAGCGGCAAGAAATGCTACGCAGCCCGCGGAAACAAGTCTGGCAGTCTCCGTCAACCCTAGCCCCTGCAATGGCCAAAGCGGCAGTTTCGCCGCGGAAGCCGCTGTTCTTGCCTTAGGATCCACGGCAAGATCCCGTCTGACGTTTGGGTGGGAAGACCAGGACGGCGCTCTCAATCTTTCTTCCTTCAAAGTTTTCCCTTGCCGCCATAAGCATTCTCTATCTCACGACAAGAAATACTGCCCCTTTTATCATAACTTCAGAGACAAGAGACGGTAAATCCCATGGTACTGATTTCAAGTGCAGATGCGTTGTTGTTGTAGCCCGTTGCTGCTGCATCTCGCTTGCGCTGCTCCGCCTCCTGAGAGAGAGAGAGAGCCTAGGCATGACACGCTCCGTGCACCTCTGCTCCAGGATATGCCTGTGTGCTTGTGGCACTGAGAAGCAGATCGTAGGGAGCCAGGTGATGCTCAGAACAAAAACTCCGGCTAGCTGTATGCGTGTATCTTCGCCCCTGCTATCAATAGGATCTGCCGTTCCAATTGTTGCCTGTAGTGTCGCAAATTCCTTCATGGTTTTCGTTTCTTAGTGGCTGGCGCTTCTTTCTTCAGTGGCTTCTGCAATACGGAATTGCTGTGCTGTCAACAGGTTCCCTGTGACTTACCGGGCGGAGCAGTGCGAGGAGCATTTCGATTTAGATTCGTCCACACTCCAGTGCTCGAAAGGGGACGCGTAAGCCAAAAGCCCCTGTAACTGCGAACCAATCGAAATGCAGCACGCTCGCTCCACCTTGAATGCTCTGAAATGCAGTGCGCGCCCATCTCCATATCTCGCATCGCAGTTGTATTTCTATGTAATATCAGCACAAAGTCATCTGATGTTTATTGCAACACCCAAAGACACTGATCTATATGGCGCACAACACCTATAAGTGTTCCAAGGGAAGAGTAAAAGGACATGTACAATCACCATCTCATGCGTTCATAAGATCAACCTGATGAACACGAGCCGCATGGGTAGCTGGGCTGCGCTGTGCCTTGAGAGCTGTACATGGAGAACCAGTTGCCGTGTGGAAAGTGCTAAGCGGCGCACACGGCATCTTAAAGTACCTCTATTAGCCAGTAGTCCAGTTAGCAAGCGGACTTGCGCCCTTCTGTCTGACAGTTGCCACATCAGGCAGTGCTGGGAGCATATATACATGTATATAATTATAGATATGCATATGTGTTTGCCCCATTGATACAACGATTGATCTTGTGGTACATCTTGGGCAGCCACGCCAAATATTTGGTATATCCTGGCGTTCCGGTGCGCGCTGCAGGTGCGAGAAAAGCCACAATAGACACGAGCTCCTCTATCATCCGACAATATTCAAGCAGCGATTCTGCTCCTCATACGCAACCAGGAATGGAGTGAGGACAGTACTTGAAGTGCAGCAGTCATTTAGGGAATACATGAGAATATGGAAAATGCATTCCGATCTGCGGGTAGCGTCCGTGTTTCTTTATTGTCGAGGGTGCCTCGCTGCGTTAGAACCCGTATTCATTTTTCTCATAGCTGCCGAGCGGCCTCCCCGTGTAATTCCGCATCTAAACCACGCTGTTGATGATTCCTTCTGACGCGCCATTCCCGCTCCTACGCCTCTAGATGAATACGTGTTTCGGTTTCTGCATCAGACCGAGCGCTGTGGAAGGGGTCAATTCTGCGCTTTTGCACATTCTCGAGAAGAAGTTCGCGCTCCCCTCTTCACGATCCAGGAGGAGACATGCCCTTCCGTCGGTTCTTTTTTCCCTGCCCTGCCTCTCATAGATTAAAGCCCCTGTGCAACAACTCATTCCCTACAAGGTGGCACATCGTGAAAGAGGCTGGTCGTATGTTTAGGGTATAGAGAGATGTGGAAAAGAGACTTTATGTGTCTTACGTTGAACACACTCATGGAAAAACTGGCTGTACATTTTACGGGCTCTCCGGATACAGGGGATTTATAGTTGCATGCTGTTTGTCTCTTCAGAGCGACTTCTTCATGCAGCATTTCAAGACCGTCTGGTGCCCCTACGGAGTGCAGCACGACTGGTATACTTGTGTGTATGCGCACACGTACCAAGACTGCAGGCGATCTCCTCAAGTTGGTGCGTTTTCAGACGAAGTTTATCAGGAAAGGGGGCTTGCTAGGGGTACCAGGGGCGAGGCCAGGGGAATGGGGGGGAGCGCAGGTGCGCTGGCAAATCGGAACGGAGAACAGGGGAATGCTGCGGCATGTGGACAACAGTCATCTCGCTAGCTAGCCATGCATAGGAAACATTTCCTCAAGGGCGAGCGGTCATGATTCGTATCCTTGCCTCTGTAGCGGCAGTGGTCTGCATTATTTATGCGCTCGTTCATATCTGTGACACGTCTGCGTTGTCCATGTGGGCTCCTGTCTCCCTATGCCTACCGTTTCAGGATACGGCAGCGAACCCTGCCCCGCATGGAATAAGGACGTGCATTCGGCAGATTACGCCCGCAGATGCCCTCACGGGTGCGCCTTTTAACTAAATGAGAGGCATTGCTTTCTGGAGAAGCAGCATTACACTTCTCGCCGTGCTAGCTCGCTCCGCTTATCGGGTGCCCCCCTTTATGGGCGTCTCTGCTCAGCCGCTCCGTTCCCTGTGCTTCCCATGCAGAGCCTGAGGCTCTTGACTAGCCCCCTTGTCCTTTAATCCTCTTCATCTCCTCCTCCTCCATGTTCTCTCCCTAGCTTTCAGCCAATGTGTGCGATGCTCCAAATTATTGCACGGAAGGAATCAGAGTACCTCCTTGAGCGATGAACACGTATAGACGCCCCTGTATACTTGTGGCCGCATATCTGTGCTTGCCCTGCTTCAGCACACTCTGCCCGTACTCGCATGGCAGCAAAGAACAGCTTTACCACCCCTCCTACTACAAGACAATGCCCTGCATGGACTTTCGCTCGAAAGGGCGTGGCGGGGGCGGCAACAGTTGCCCGCGTGGAGTCCTCTGTGCGTTCTACCACGAAACCAGCGAGCGGCGATGGCCTTTGCGCATTTCCACTGATTATTCGACTCCTCTCCCATCACAAAGGAATTCTTTGCTGCAGCCGCAATTCCTCAGACCGCCCCTTTTCAACTTGGATGACTTCGAAGCCTTTGGGCATACCAGGTAGATTTGCGTCTGCTTCTTGGCTTTCGACCGCGCGAAGGTGTAAATAAACGTAGAGGGTGGGGAAAGCAGGGGTGTGGCGCGGCTGTTGCGCGTTCCCCCCGGTCCATCTGCATACAACCGGCTTCCTCTCCGACATCTATGTGGTTTCCCTCTACCTGTATATGCATTTTTGTCGTCTTTGGAGCTGCCTGCGCTCTGCCGCAGTCGCAAAACGAGCTCAAAGAAGGACGTAAGTACGCCCGAGGCATCTAATGGCAACCGCCGCAACGGAGGAGGGTTCAAGCGAGCGGACTCAGCCGCATTAGCAGCAGCAGCAGCAGCAGTAGCAGCAGCAGCAACCAAATCACTACCTTCAAGTAATAGAAAAAGGCTCGAGAACACTGTGGCAGCAGCCGGAGAATGTGGACGTGAGCAGCCTCAGCAGCAGCAGGATAGACAGGATACCCTAAAGTCACTCAGTACGTCTGCTTCGGTGGTTACTGCGTTGCCATTCAAACAGCAGCAGCAGCAGATGGCAGACGGAGCATCCATTTCCTTGGGCGGATCCCTCTGGTCACTAGAGCAGCAGCAGGAGCTAGCAGCCTCAGATATCAAAGGGATGAAGAGGCAAAGCCTTCTTGAAGACCTTAGGTACGGGGCTGGGGTTGAGCAGCATCTGCAGCTCCAGCAGCAGCAGCTCCTGCAATTCCAGCAAGACATGAAACAGCAGCAGGCACTGCAGCAGCTTGCTGCCAGTTTGGATACAAACACAGCATTGAGTTCTTGGGTGCTCCAGCAGCTTGCGGCAGACGATGACGTAGCGGCGGCAGCTGCTTCGTCCTTTGACCTCCGCTCGAAGCAGCGCCTCATGGTATCCCAGACGCACATCAAGCTGGGGGATGCCTGCGTCTTTCCTCAGTTGCAAATAGACGGGTCTTTAATCGGCACTGACCTCCACAGTGACGCTTCAGCGTCGCCTTGGGGGCCCCAGCAGGAGCCGCCTCTCAGTACACCTCGGGCTGTGGGGGGGGAGGAAGTTTCTTCGAGAGAGCTTCCTGCTACCCACCGGCCTCTGGAGCTTCTTTCCCCGGTGGAGCAGCCGCTGGGGGGATGCACGGAGGGGGGGCCAAGTGTGGGGGCAACACGGAGCGCAAGCCTTTTCGACAGCAGTGGCCTCTGGGGTGTTGCGCATCAGGGGGGTCCTTCGCCTGGGGAAAGGAGTCCGTTTGAGCACTGTACCTTGAGCCAGGAAACAGAGAAACGCACATGCAACGACGCAGCAGACGTACTCCTGCAAATGCTCGGGAGGGCTGCACAGGCTCCAAAGTGTGGCGCGGAGGCCGCTCCTCAGAGAGGAGGGGGGCCCCCCGAGCTGTGCTACGGGGCAGACGAGTTCTCTGACGCTGCAGCCCGATTACCCCCTATTCCTCCCCCCACCCTCCACTGGTACTGCCAGGCAGCGGCAGAAGAGCAATTCATGCACAGCAGCAGTGGCAGCGGTTCGCAGCAGCAGCAACGGAACCTCGAAGACACCGATGCAGGCGAGGAGCGCCTCTTGAGCTCCGCGATGAGCTTACAGCGTCTGGTCACTTTCGACTCGGAGGGCCTTCCCCAGGCGTCTGCAGGGGCCTCCACTGCCGCGCTGTCCTTCTCTTTGAGCCTTGCCGACGATGGCTTCCCCGTTAACGCCGACGCGGGCTCCATCTTCGAAAATTCGGCGTCTTCTCTTCCTCTGTCGGGCGCACGCCTTGCGTCTGTGTATCTCATAGCCTCCAACGAAGAAGCTCAGCAGAAGGCCCTTTGCCGACTGGTGGCGGCGAGAGCGTGCCCTAAGCTGCTGCTGCTTCATAAGCGGCGTATGGAATCTCAGTCTGAGGCCGAGCTACGCATTAGCGCAGCACGTGCAGGCTATGCCTTGACGACATCGAGGTCTTCGACAGGTGACATGGCCGCGGTAGCATCAGTTCCTGACCGCTGCTGTGGTGGTGACTCGGAGTTTTCTTTCTGGAATACTTCTGGAGCGTCGCTCAGCCTCGATTACCCACCTTGCGGGGTGCATGAGGTTGCCGAGCTGCTCGAGAGGGCAGCCACTTGTGGGACCCACGTTTGCGTGCTGTATCTTCACTCGAGCCAGGAGGATCTGCTGAGTGCATGCAAGTCTTTGGCAGCATACTGCGCAACGCAGGAGGTTGCTGCAGCGCAAGAGCGAATCTTCCTTCTGCACCTCTGCCCCTCGGTACCCCCGCAGCAACTCCAAAAGCACCTGCTGCCGCATGCAACAGCCCTCCCGCTCTCCCGCCTCCGGCGGTGGGCAGCTCTGCTGAAGGGCCCTTCAGTAGGACATTTGAAGGGGGGTCTCCGGGAACCCAAATACGACACAGAGGACCGGTTACTGCAGGCGCACAGCCAGCATTCGGCAGCGATGACACCTACGACAGCGCCTCCTGCCGGCGGCAGCAATAGCGACCACAGTGCCGACGGAGCAGAAGCCGGAAGCTCGGAGCGTTGGCTGCAAAAAACTGAAGACGCGTGGGCTGCAGGGTCCCCTACGTGCTCGGTATACAGTCTGCCGTATATGCATGAGGATTTGCAGTGGACGCCATGGTGGGGCTTTGGTTCGCCAGAGGAAGACGGCAGGGTGGGTATCGAAGGCAAACGGGAAGAGTTTGCTATAACTCCCCTTAAAAGGGAGCTGGAATTCGCACTCGCAGAAGCCCGCCCTTCCATCCACACCTCAGGGCTTCCCTGTGTCCTGGTAGAGCTCGATGATGACGTGGGAGACTGGTGGCTCTCCTCGAGAGCTGCAAGTCAAACCACTAAAGCTGCGACGGCCGATGCAGCAGCAGCAGAGCAAAGGACGAGCCCTCCAGGACTGCCGGCAACCCCCGTGAGCCGCATGCAGGGGCATGCCGCCGCTATAGCAGGCGGCGGAGGAACCTTGCATAGGGAAGCCCCACGCTGCCTCTTGCCGCATGCAGAGGAGCTGGAAGCCTTGGGTTTTTCTGTTCTGACATCCGAGGATAGAGGGATCAAAGTCTGGAAACAGCAGTTGGGGGCGTCTTGCGCGGTTCATTACGCTTCAGGGGCCCCCCTGGAGGGCTCTTGCAAAGGAATCCTCGCCAAGGGCCCTCGCCTGGACCCCAGGCGCCCTCATGCAGCAGCCCATAGATGGGCATCGTGGGGCACCCAGAGGTTGGGATCTTCGCATGGTCAGATGGTGCTCTTTAGAAGGACTTTGCCGCCGACTGCCTCTGCAAGTCTTGTGGAGGCACTCCGTCTGTTGGCGAGCGCTCACACGCCTGCAGGAGCCTCCTGGGGCCTCTTGAGCTGCGTGAACGTCGTGCACTGCAAGGAAGCGGAGAACTCTGCGGTGTACATACAACTCCCAGACGCATTCTCAACCGCGGACACACTGTGGGTGTGTAGCCTGCAGCAGCTGCTGACGGGATGCGGCGCCCATGGGAACCTAAACGAGGAGAACGCAGGAACAGCCAGCCTTCGCAAGGAGGCCGCATGGGACAGCCAACCGGCTGCTACAAGCTGTTGCGTGTGCGGGGAATTCTTTGAAAACCAACATACCGCAACGAGGCCTCCACCAGGCTGCTGCCTGCTGCAGAGGCACAGTACCTGCAGCGCGCTTTTGAAAGCGGAGAGCTGGGATCCGTGTCCATGTGCTGTACTTTGGCCAAATGGGGAAGGCAAACGACAACAGCAACAACAACAAGTGCAATTCCCTTCTGAGTCCCTTAGACGGCTACTGCATGACATATGCGCCTCCGTCATTGAAGCCTATGGACTCCTGCAGCAAGTGGTTATAGCAACCCATCCGTCTAAAAAGGCGAAAGAGGAGGCAGAGGGAGCTTTTGAATTCGCAGTTGGCCTGAAGGATATCCTCGTTGCAGGACACAAAGATGGGCGGCTTTTCGCTTGCGTGGATCTGGTAGCGCCGCATGTTCTCCTGGCCGCTCTGAAGACCACAAGAGCAGCAGGAAGCATTCAGAAAGGGAGTGCCTCTCAGCTCCGGGATGTCTTGAGAGATATCATATCATCGGTGCTAACACGGGGGAGTTCTGCTCCGCCGCAGCTGAGGGGGGCTCCTCTGGCTGCCAACCTGCTGGGGTCCCTGTGGCGCTGTGGGCAGAGGGAAGCTGTGAGCTGCTGCAGCCACCCTTTCTTTTGGAGTTGCTCAGAGCGCCTCAGTTTCCTGCAAGTCGCACTCGCCTTGGCCCATATGCCGCAGCAGTTGCAGCAGCGGCAGCTCGAAGATACAGCAAAAGGCGTAGATGGGGCCTGGGGTGCCAAGCTGGCAGTACACATCAGGGGCGTCACCTGCACCGGCCAGTCGTGGCTGCTGGCAAAGGCAAGGAAGGAGTTCTACGAGGCAGAAGAACCCCTCGCGGGGCCCCCCGCTCTAGATGTTCTAGTCTTAGCGGATCGGTATGCCATTTCTATCGGCTTCAAGTCATCGACGCCCTTCGTCCTTGCTGCTTGAGCTTGCCCTCAGCCCTCATTTTCCTGAGACCCGAATAGCAAGCGAATGTTTAAAGTGCACGGAATTTGTGCTTTCAGAGACTGTGTGTCTACTGCCAAACTCGCATGTCTTGGGACTTGGGTGCAAGCTCGACCCAGTTTTCTCTCTGCACATCTGGAATTCTCACTTTTGCTTTGCTTCGCCCTTGCTCAGGCTGCGCCAACGGTGGCTGTACTTCAGCAGCCAGCTCGCGCCCGAGTGCGTGGCTCACCTGTTGCAGGAGATTGGACATGGCTCTGCGCTACAGCAACAGAGGCAGCACCAGCTGCTCTTGTTGGTACAACATGCAGATGAAGTACTGTCTACACATGTTGAGACAGAGGCCCCGGGTCTGCTCCTGTCTGTTTTCCTTCTGGCACGAGAGAATCCGGATGTGCTGCAAGTAAGCACCGGCAGAGCAGACACGCACCCTCTTCTATCTCATACCTAAAACTCAATTGGTTGACCCTACCATGCGCCTTGATACCACCGCACTCGGGGATTCCCATGGGTTCCATTAGTGTCTTTTAACGGCTCTACTCCACAAGGTGTTGTAACAGCTGCTTGGTTAGGGCCGGCAAAGAGTTTTATAGTGCTCCCGTGGGCAGCTTGGGGATGAAGGGGCTGGAGAGATGTGCATCCTAAGGGCTTCTGCATGATATGTAAACGATTCCCCTGCATGGGCGGGCTACTTGTTCAGATGATGCACGCATCGCCTTCTTTGGCTGCTGTACGGCATGCCCTTCAAACAACAGAAGATATGAACTGAATCTTTGAATTGGAAAACAACAGCCATACGGCTCCGAGGACGAAGGCAGAGGGAGAAGTAAAACGGCGAAGGAAGAAGGAGGCTGAGTTTGGTATGCAAACAAGGCATATCAATGTATCAATCAGAGAAGGGCGCTGAGCTTTCTTTCTGACGACGCCGTAGCAGTCCGCCCCCCCTTAGAATGTTTCAACATTGGAACATGAGGGGGGAAATTAGAAGACTCAGCGAAACAAGGAAGGCATTTTTGTGCTGCCCTCCCTTCCTAAACATCTACCCCTTGGCCGCGTGGATCCGCTAAAGAACGGACCACACTGATGGGGGTATACGTATTTCTTATTACGTATGCAGGCCTTTTGAGGTCTCATTTGAATTTTTCATTGTTCTCCTATGCCCACTTCCCGCTTTTTCATATGCGTCTGATTTTTCTAGTGTTGCGGGGATGGCACCGCGCTGGTACTTACTCCAACAGTGCGAGGAGCTCAATCAGCCCGTTTTTGAGTGCTATTTGCTGGTTTTCACTTCTACAAGAGGATGGGGAGGGACGAGAAGTACAACCTTCCAAACGTTCCCATGCAGGTTTATGCGTAAGTCCAGTCTTCCACTTATGTTCGCGCTGTGCGGCCCCTGCAGCCTGGTAATGTGCTGTTGCTGTTTGAAGTCACACAAACACCTACGCCGGAAGAATGGAAGGGAGAAAGCCTTTCATCAGGCCCCAGCAGATTCCCACACTCAGCATGAGGCACGCATGCACGCCTTGGGCGATAGGAAGACGCCCGAATGGGCCCTGACCGCCTCACATGTCTTCCAGAGCTTCCTTTTTCAAGCTGGGATGGACTCAAAAGATATGCTTCTCCTCCTGGGTGAGAAGTAGGAGAGACAGTACCCAAAGAGCTCCCCATATATATTCCGCGCACTTGGGGATAGTGCATGCCGCCATGACAGTCAGCAGTAAGCAAAAGAACCATCCGTTTCACTTGCTTGCATGAAGGACGTCTGGCAACATCAATACCAAATATTTTCAGCAGCTGCACTCTGCTACTGTTACTGCTGTATGCAGTAGCAATAGCAACAGCAGCAGCAGACCCGTGTATAGTTTATTCGTTAAGAGGCCTGCACGTTTCGCATGAAATGCAGGAGAAAACGTATTTGTTTCTTTAGAACGCTAATAATTTGAAGGTTTTCATGAATATGGAGAACGAACAACAGCAGATTCGACGGTATACAATGGGCAACAAACGCTTCAGCCCAGCTTACCTCTTATTCGTACTTCCTATTCTTTTAAGTATTTTTAGTGTCACCTTTGCTCTATGGAAGCTCTAGAGTCTAGACCATCGGCTGCACCATCCCCTGCCCCTCCCCAGCCCACCTACTCCGCAAACGTTTTCGGTTCACTGTAGGTAATAGTGTGAAATTGACCCTCTGCGCCATTTGCATGAGGAAGGGCCCGGCGGGCTCGGCTTCTACAGCTCAATAGGGGAGCACTGAAAGGAAATAGAAGAATATTGAAGTCTCCAATCGAACAGATCAAATGGAAAGATTTCTATCGTTGAAAAAAGATTGCTCCATTGAAGGAGGCCTAAAACCTTTAAGGGCCTCCTTGAGGGGTGTCAAGATTAGGGAGCAGAAACCGCGTTTGCCTCGTTTGTTCCACATTTTCTCCGTTTCTGTTCTTTTTGGCTACGCACGGGCATGGGGGCAAACAGACTACGATGGGTAGGCGAGACTCAGGGAGCAACAACATGGCAACAGGCCGCTTGACGCCACTGCAGAGGGTCACAAATCAAAGTGAAAGGCAGAGAAAGACAGTTACCATATGCGTCAGGAAGCGCCCCTCAGACTAGCGCAGAGCGAACGAACGGGTATTGTGTTGCTTTTTTCCCGTCCGTTAAAAAGGCGTAGGGCATCTGAATAAAGACTTATTCGGTTTTGAGGACCACCAACATTTGAGGAGAAGGGAAAATAAATTTCTAGTGCCTCAAGAGAAGACAAAGCGTATGTCTGTAATCAGATCATTCTGCGCTGCCTGTACACATGGTGTTCAGAGGTCGACGCCACACTGTGTTCTCAAATTTTGCAGCAACTCGTCCACACTGTGCACTCTGACTCCTCTCTTTCGTTCAGGCGGCTCCTCCACTCTGAAAAACACAGGCACAGTTGCCGGATCATGCATGACAATCGGTTGATCCACGTCACATCGAATCCGGTTGAAGCTGTTCGAGTTTTAGGCGTGCAAGATAAGCGCATTAGAAAATCAAATGACTGATTTAGTAAAGCCGTCTCTGGCTAAGTGTTAAAGAAGTTAAGATTATCAGAACATGCCTGAGGATCTGTAGCCTTGGGCTGATATCAACGCCTACCAGGAACATGAAACACATCCCAAAACCGCTTAGCATCACAGTTGGCGGACAGATCTGTTCTTCTCTATATCTCACTAAAATATATGTGAAGATCGAACAGCGGGCGAGATGGCGCAGAGGCTCAAATAGCATTCGCATCCCCTTGACGCTGGAGCACTCCAAACTTATGTGAGTGCCCCTGGGTAACCCCATCTTACACAACTCCTTAAGAAGGGGATTACCAAGCTCTTGTGCGTCCAGTAGCTTAATTGTTTTTTTTCTGGCCTTGATAAGGTTGGGGAGAGAGACAAAACGTGGTTGGTTCATACGGAGGTCGCACGTAATGACCAACGGCAAAGGTGCTCGGACCTGCCATAATGGAGACAGAATGTGGCAAAGGAAGTATGCATACAGGGGGAGTCAAAAAACGGGTTCGGATCTTCTTTTTAAAAAGAGGGTCACAGGAAATATGGCCCCTTAGTGGCAAACAAGTATGCGAAGAGGGGACAGGCTCTCAACGCAGCGCCCGCAGCCTGCACTGATTCAGAAGGAGCGTACAGCTAGAACCACGGGTAGCAGAAACACTGAAGCTAATAACATCATCGTGTATATGCAATACTTTGACGCAGTGATACCGAGAGACTCTGCCTGTCCTCTCTGAAATAGCGCTTTGTTCTATAAGATTTCGACGGCGCTTTATGTCGCTGTCTTGAATTTATGCGTCTTACCTTTTGGAGTCCCTGATCGACTTCCCTAGTGCCGATCGCAACGTATCCCTCTCTGTTGCACTGCAACTCCAGGTCGCTGCAAAACGTTATTTGAGGCCATCCAAGCAACCCTGCCAAAAGCTGACCAACTTGATTGCTATCGGCGTCAATCGCCTGGAGGAACAAGCACAAAGCAGTGTAACCGGGGCAGGCGACAAGGGAAGAACATGCTGAGGGTTCCTAATCCCCTTAGGACACGAAAAGGAGAATTAAGTCAGATACACACGCATTGTTTTGGGCTAGTGCTGCCTCTCTCTTTTCTGGTTGTTTGACATTTTTCATTTCGCCTGGCTTTTAGTGCTACCTGCTGTGGGTTGCCACCCCTCTCACTTGTTTTCCTAAGAACACAATATTCGGCTTTTCTTTGTCGATGATTGACTTGAAGAGCTTTGCTACGGCTAGAGGCTGTAGTGTTTGATCTGGCTCGAGCTCAGTCCGAATCAGCAGCGCCTTGTCAGCCCCCAAGGCCAGCACCGTGTGCAGTTGTTCTTTTGCCCTGAAGTTCATAAAAACGCACTAGATTCTAAGCCCAGCATGGCACAGGGAGGCAGGTGGATATATATATCTGAGGAAGATGCAACAACTTGTCCCGCGACCTATTCACCAGGGAGTTACATCCATGCAGGCGGGGCCGGGGAGGTACTAGAATGGCATAGGGATACAATCTCTTTGTTTGCCCCCAGACTTCGGTAGACCAAAATAAAAAGGATGAAATACGACGAAAGCCAGCACTCTCATGTTAAGACTAAGGAAGAAGCGGCAGAGTGTGCAACTCGCCTGTCGCATCCCACAGATACGGCAATGATCTCTTTTATAACATTCTGTTCCTTTAGACGGACAGCCGCCTCCACCGCGATCTCACAGAATGGATTAATTGAGTGCTTTTGTCCTTCTTTTATCATGCCCCGCTTGTTGGGGTGTACATACACCTTAGCCGCATGGTCGATGACACGTTTCACTCCAACTAGCGCGCGCAGCGCCATCTTTTTCAATTGTCTTGTTATCTTTTTGAGTGGACATCACTCTAGAATATCTCATTTTATGCCTGCTAATGCATTTTTGTGTGTTCAGGAAAATTTCCTCAATCAACAGACTTGCTATCAGATACGAGAGCCCCGTCCAGCCACCGCGCATGCGGCGCGTTCAGTGTGTATCTCGCCTTCGTCATGTTCTTCCGGAGCCTGAAAAAGACATGTTCCTTGCTCTTTTATAGACAGTATGACTCATCTATCATATTTAATGCTGATGAGGCATATCCATGGTGAGTTTCCTATATATTTTCTAGCGTTTTCCAACAGCGCTCCCTCCCTAATGCTGCCGCATAAGATGGCCCCTTGACTTCGCAAGCGGCAGCGACACCCTCATCCCAGCATAACTCGAGAGGGTCCACTTCACTGCATGACGATGCCTTTTCGCTGCTCTTAGAGCTGCGTCCCTCGATAGGCAACCTTGAGAAGTGGGCTCCCATGCTGTAGTGGCATTCACAGCTCGATGCGGATCGGCCACAACGGCCTCATGTGCTACACGGTGTTCTGAGTGACTTTTGTCGCGCCAAGGCCACAGGTTCTCTCTTCGCTTGTAGAACTTCCAGGACCATTTAGCGCTGCACAGGGATCTTCGCCCGAATACACAATGCAGCCTTGGCCCCACTCTTCTAGTTCGATTCAGAGTGGGGAAGAATGTGCCATATCTTCCATGCCTCCTCCGAGTAGGGTCCCTAGGGCACCACCAACTCCTTTCTCTCCCTGCTCAAGGGAAGACGCCGCTGTAGCTGCCAGCTCCCCGTCACTAGATTCCAGCAGCAGTCAGTGCCCCAGAGCCCCGCTATGGGGCGAACTGAGGCCCCATCAGATCGGCGGAGGGGTTCCTGATGGCTTTCCTAGACGGACAGGCCAGCCTCTCGGCTGTGCAGTCCTCAGGGCGTCCGACCTGGTTCACGCAGGCAGCGATTTCCCACCTGCGGCTGGGCTTGACATATTTCGGACCCCCTCTGGCTCTAGGGCTGATTTGAGAGGTTCCTTTGGCATGGCGGCAGCAGCCACTGGTGGCTTCGGGGATGCACGCTCCCGATTTGGCGGCTTTGGAGGGCATGGCAGCGCATTAGGCCCTGCTGGATTGCCAGCGCTGCCAGAATCCTTTGGCGCCGCTGGAGGCCCCCCCTTGGGCCCTAATGTTGGCTCTCATCGTCCGGAGGCGTTTCGCTTCTTCCAACGGGCATTGAGGCCCCTCGACGAGGACAGCGAGTGTCTAGATGGCTGGGGTTCGGGGGGCTGGGGCGGCGACTGTCCAGGCGTAAAGAGGACCAGTGGCGACGCTGCGTTGAGCAAATTCTCTGCCTCCCTTCTGGGGTACTTTCCGGATGAATTCTTGAAGCATTTCGTCAAGAATCCAACGCGCATGCAGCCTTTGATCAACAGAGGTTAGAGGGGAGACAGGGGGCGGGAGCTGGGAGTCATGCTGGGAGTGGGCCCCCTGTTGAGCCTATTCGAGCATCTTCATGAAAGACCCCAGGGGCGTGCTCGTATCAAAGAAAAGCTGCAACGCGCTTGCGGCTCTAACGCATCTACAAGAGGACTTCCTGCGTTGTTTCTGGCTGCAGGCTATTACTCAAGGGTCGAGGCAATCCGTCGGCTCATTGCTGCATTTCTTAAGGACGCCGAAGAACTCGCCGCAAGGAGGCCCCCAAGAGACTCCTTTGTAAAGACGGTCTCCCCCAGGAGCTTCTCGACTGGAGAGGTCTCTGAGGAGGACCTTTGCAGAAGTCACGAAAGGAGCTCCAAGGAAGGGGGGGGGCTGGCCGAGGGGAGAACGCAGGGGCAAATTGCTCAGGTTGTGAATTTTGGAGCAGGCGCTGACACAACAGCCTTTTTCTTGGCGGTGCGTAGGAGGATGGGCGCCTTTTAAATTATCGGTGCTTGATGGTGCTGCACGGTGTGCCCTGTTCCTGACAATTCTCTTAGAGGTGCTGCTCGTTGTCTTGTATGCCCATAGATGCACGAGAGAAGAGCAGGATACCCGAACTGTCGTAGATGCTTCATGCATTTTTAGACTTTGACATAATTGTGATTCGTCGTGCAGCGAGACGGTCGGGCGATTGCATTTGATCTCGACTTCCCGGACGTGTGCAGAGAGAAGGAAGCTGTAATCCAGAGGTGGCTCACCCTTCTTAAGCACTTAGTTTCGTTTGTTTAGCCCCTTCTTTCTCGCCCTTTGCCTGCGGTTTTCTAGGAGTCCTCCCGCTGTGTGTCTCCTTTGTGTGTGTAGTAAGTACCACATTAGTGCTCTAAGTCCACATGTTGAGCCTCTTTCTGCTGTCCTGCTCCAACTCTCGCTCCTTCAGGAGGAGCCTGTGAAAACCAACTCCTGCTGTCTCCTATTCTTTTGCTTTTTACTGTGTAGAGTTCCGGAGCTCCGCGAGTGCCTCGGACCTAGCTGCGCGTCACGTGAGGGTGCCCGCTCCTCCTAGCCGTTGCATTGCCTGCTGCTCCACAGTGTGGAAAGCGTAGAAGGTCGTTCCTTATTTTGTTGGCTTGTCGGGTGCTCCTGGGGCAAACACAATATACATCGCAATAACACAACAGTGGGAGGCAGCTATTCGTTCGTCAGGAACGCTGCGGAGTTAACGAGCTGGTAGTATGAGGGCGCTGAACATCACCTTTTCGCAGTATTGCACTTACAGACGCTGATTTCGGTTGCGTTCCTTTCTTATAATGCACGTACTGCACACACGGCAAAAAGCAGATGTATCCAACATTTTCCTGTGCCATTTGCTTTTTCTCGCACCCGTTTGCGCAGCTCCTGATGATCCTTGTGTTCTTCGAACAACAAACTACCGTCTGGTATGCTTCTGGATTTGGTATTCTACTATCTAGCCAAATTGGGGTTTGGTATGTATTCTTGTTTCCTCGTTCCATTACAGGCACCGAGTTGTTCGCATGTTTGCGCATCTTTCTTGATGCCGATGCAACTGCGCTTTCTCAGGTGGCGGCAGACCTGCGAAATCTGCAAAATCTGAAATCAGCGGTGGCAAAAGCGGGATTCAGGCAAGAGTAAGCGCCTTTATGTTTTCCAATTTCTTTGATAGAGTCGCTTTGCTATTTCTGTTGTCCTATAGTGCTGCCATTCCCCAGCACTTCACGAATTGAACTGGCACATCTGCCCCTTTAGATGTGATCTTGCTGCATTAACCTGAAGCAAACTTTTGTTGGCCACAGGAAAGCTTTTATAGAGCAATAGTAGGTATTGGAACACTTTATGCCATTACTAATTTTGCGCTCCTTTCTGCATTTTCCAACTCCTTTTCCCACTTAACCGGTCCCTTGATGTGTTTTGCCGCAGCCTGCCCACGCTCTTTCTCTGCGAGTGCGTTTTGATTTATCTTCGAGTGGAAGAGGCAGACGCAGTGAGCCTCTTTCCCATCAACTACGATTTTGTCTTCCTGAGGAAACGCATTTTGGTGGAAACCCACAGGAACATACACTGCAATCAAATATACTGTTCCCTTTTCCTTTGTGTGGCGCTTACTGGCTACCTATTTCTTGCTTGGATAAGTGCATATCTGAATATCAAGAGTTGCAGTTCAACATCTGTAACGGCGATTTTTTGCCCAACGTCATTTCGTGCTCAGTCGAGTCCATTTTTGATCAAATACAAACACTTCAGAGCGGCATTGTCAAATAGGCTTTCGCTTTTCCTTCACAGGTACTCAAGTGGGCCGCCGAGGCGTCGCTTGCTCCGTGTGCCCTTGTGCTATATGAACAATTCAATCCGGAGGATCCTTTTGGAAGAGTAATGATCCGCAACCTACAGGTCATTGCAGAGAATATAATAAATCAAGTCCAATACGCGCATTGAAATCTTTTCACACCGCAGCAATAAATAGAGCGCTTTCTGTATCTCTTTCCCGTGTGTGGCCTTTACTAATCCTTTTCTCCGCCTTCCCTTCACTAATCCTTTTTTCCGCCTTCCCTTTACTTGTATTCTTCCAAGGGTGGCAGTCATACAATAGAACACCACAAGAGACATTAGTTGGTTCTACACGTTCTCTTTCTCCGTCTTCGTGTCTGCCGTATTTCCATGTGATGTAATTCCTTGGAAAAGAGAAGCCCAATATCCTTTCCTTTGGATACACTGGTATTATCGCATGTCCACCTCGTCTTCCCAATTATTACATGCGCTTTTTTCCTTTTCAGACGAGGGATTGCCCGTTACTGACAATTCGGGCATACCCAACACTTGACTCTCAAAAAAAAAGGCAAGTGAACCAAATAAGAAAATCCCCACCAAAAGAAGTTCTACAGATGAGCAAAAGATGCAATCGATTCTCTGTGTCGGTTTTCTCAACTGTTGCACTCAGTTGGATTTCCTCCATACTGTTCTAGACCCATATGATCATTAGATTTCTTTGGTCTATCTTGCACGTGCTCAGTAGCCTGTTTTACTATTTCCTAGTCAGGTGCTCTTACTAAAGCTCGCAGTTGGAGCGGGACAAAGATGCGGTTTTTGCACAAAAATGAAAGACCTGTCAGTTATACGTTTGTAGAAGCAGAGAGGTAGCAGACGGCCAGAAAAATAGACGCGCCTCAGCCTGAGGGAAGAGGCGACGCGGTGCATTGACAGACCAACAAAGGGACAGTCACATTGTTGTTGAATGTACATTTGGTGAAAACTGGTGCTGCTGGAAGTTTCCGCTGCGCATACATTTTCATGCATCTGAATTTGGACACTAGATGTGCACACTGTAGGTGTGTATACCTGCAGAGCTGCGTAGGGATACATAGCATAGTTTCGCATCAAGGATGCAGAATTAAAGAGACCTGAATTTAAAGGTGATCGATCGTGCAATAGTGATAGGTCTGGCAGCAAAGAGACAAAGAAGAAGCGCTATTGCCCTGTAGCGGACTCAACGTTTCTCTTACCGTTCTGGTTTTGCTCAGGTTTGTCGCTCAAGGCTGGCCGGAAAGTAGCGTGGCAGACATGCGACATGTTTATGAGAAGTTTCTGCCGAAGGAAGAGAGAGAGCGTGTGCAGGTGGGCAGCAGCCTCTTATGTTGACTCGGTCTGCCCTCTCCCTGGGGTAAAGGTGCTCGTCTTTTGGTAAGATTCATCGTCGCCATGAGCGCATGCGGGCAAACCAGCTAAACGTTCCTAGACGCGTGTTTTATTCTGTTTTTTCCCAAAAGATTTAAATCGCATTGCCTGTTCCATCCTTTTTTCTTGCTGTTTGTCTGCCCTCCCACCGTCACCTTGTTATGGGTTTTCCATTCATTCTTCAGGCCCTGGAGATATTCGACGAATTGGAGGAGTGGTGGCTTATTCAATCCCACTACTTCCTCGCCGTGCTCCTCCGCCCGGCTCCATCGCAAGTAGGCTGCACTCTATCATTGAAAGCATCTCAAAGTGCCCCCCTTAGGGCCCGTCGAGGTTCTCAGACCACCCACCAAACGTATGGCACTCAGGTGGCATGTAGAAAACTCTTTGACTTACTAGGGGCGTGCATTAACCTTGAAGGCAAATCACATCACTCTTAACTAATCCTCGTGCTGTTTGCTGCAGGCGGGAGGTGCCACTCTGCCGAGTTTGTCGTCCGTGTTCGAACAGCATAATTTATGCTCAGCGCAGTAAAATTATACTGCGCACCAAATGGAGGGAATATGAAGAATGGTTCGCAGCAAAGGGAATCGCTTAGGCGCGGGGCAGAGATGCATCAAGCTGTTCGCAGACAACAGGTGGCAATTCGACGTCAATGCAGCTGAAGTCTTGCTGCATGTGTTCCTGGTCGGTCGTGCCCGTCAGAGGCACGATATCCCGCTCCATTAAATAGCGAAACCAGAGCTGCATCACAGTAAAAACATACAAAAATGTACACGTCGACGGTACAGCCATGCATGCAGTCACGTGCTGCCTTTACACTTTCTGCCCAACGGCTGCAAACATAAACCAGCTCAGCGCACAAGCGGCAACATTTACTTTTTGTCAAATATCTGCATGGATAGAAACAAGCTGCGGCCTAGGCACTTTTAATACTTGTCGACCTATGTAGCTGTCTACTCCCCCGCGGCGAGCTGTCAGGTGGTGCCGTTGGAGCACAACGTACAGAGGGCAGGCTACTCTGTGTCTGAATACCTAAATTATCGATATTTTCACAAAGGAGAGTAAGATGCAGAGATTCACCCCAAATGCGGTCAGCGGTCGGTTCTCGTCAACCTTATCTATATTACAGCAGCCTATTCAAGCCCTCCGCCCTCGTACGCTGACCTGTTCGGGAGTGCATTTGAGCCTCCTGGCAGAGTGAGTGATAATAGGATCCCTCAGGACATGGGGGTTTGCAGTAAGTGTCCAGAATCCCTGATAAACAATTCCATTCTTGCAGCACCAGGCCCTCAGCGATGCATCATAACCTGTGGCTGGGTAGAAACGGTTCTGCACGATCACGGGCTTGATAGATGCAGCTGCATGCAGGTGTTGCAGATCTTGAAGGCAATAGCAATTGCTTATGCCTAAAGCCCTAACATGGCCCCTCTCTACTGCTGCCTCTAGACCCCTCCAAGCATCCAGTGTCTCTTGTGGAGTGTCTAATGGGGAATGCAGCAGCACTGCATCAATATATGATACACCCAATTCTCGCAGCGACACCTGAGCGCACACTCCCATATGCAAAGCCATGAAGGCGCAGTGACCGCCGGTATATATGTCTTTCAGCTCCTCTCCCTCCCCGCTGTTCGTAAGTGCCTACGCCTCTATCCCCCTCTTGACCTCATCATGAGTACCCCTGGTCTCTGGCGCTACACGCGGTATTTAGTGTACTCTTTTTTCATGTAAAATAAAGAATCACGCGTTTTCGGTGCTATAGCCTCCCCCTGAGAAAGACGTCTGAATGTGTTCTTCCAGGTAAGGGCGCGCATGAGCATACCTGTATACTGTGTAAGACTTGCTCCTGCACGGGCAAACTTGGGTCATATGGTATAGTTTTCCGGTCTTGCCCACCTACTGGAGTATATTTTGTTTGAATATACAGCTGTTCTCTGTCTATGTTCATATGGGAGAACGCTTCTGATAGAGCTTCTCCTAAGCCCTTCTGGTTGTAGTGCTTGGGCTGGCAAGCGGTGTCAAAGCCCCGAAAACCCTCACGCAGGGCCATTATGCACAGTTCCTTTGTTCTCTGTTTCTTCCACGCCGTGCCATAAATTATCCTTGGCATCTTGACCGGATGTGAACTGGCCGCCGGTGATGCTGCTGCATCAGCACTTGCGCGGCTTGCGGCCTGTGCAGCTGTAAGAACTATATATGGGGACAGTGTCGGGAGGCCCGCCATTTGTTAGCGCAAGTACAAGCTGTACGTGTGTCGGAACTGAAAGATCTAATAGAAGACGGCGGTAAACCGCAGCGGAATTCACCCAATAACTAGCGGATGTGGAGGCAGACCGAAGGCCAAAAGCATACGAATGGTTTTTAGGAACTGTATTCAGACAGTCAGTAATATTCCGCCATCTTGTTGAATCAATAGTCAGAATTTCACGAATAAAGCCATCCTATCTTGAACTGTGCGTGTAAGGTATCTAACAGCGCATTCCGATGGCGACAAGAAACTGGAGCGACCCCACGGCCGACAGGGGGGTACCAAAGGAACTTGAAAGGCCGACAAATGGCGTGCGAATCTGTGCATGAAACATCATAATCGGGATGTACTCCATGAAAGCTGCTTTACTGATTATGTGCCCGTAGAGCTACGGCATGCTGTGTGCTCTCGAAGCGACTTCCGTTCGCTCGGGTCAAGTGGCACAGAGGCCCCAGAATGAGACCGCTGGTGGCCTTCGCGTCAGTGCCCAAAAGAACGCCTCTGTTTTCGTTATTCCATGGCAAAACTGCCACCTTTCACTGAGTATCGCGCTTATTGAAGGGGTTGTAAGGGGAAGGCACCAGGAAGGCATCAGCCTCTCTTGAGGATCTTCAGCCCCATGCTGTCCCGTTCATAATCGTGGTTCATTTTAACGGAATTGCGTACGCTGGGCTGTACACCCAGCTAAATCCCTCTCTATTTGTGTTACTTGGCGGAACGTGGCGACCCCCTGCGTTCTCCGGAGGCACGCAGCGTTGATTCAACAAGCTGCAGCGGCCTGTCCACATTCCTCTACATCGCTCCTTTGCGGCCATTCTGCGGCATTTGTGGGCCTTAAAACAATGACATATGTGTTCTCCGCTAGAGCGCTGCAAAGGCTTGGGACAGCCGGAATTGCACCGCTCGTCCGTCTTCTTGCAACGCCCCCCCAGCGTGGAGTACGTGGCAGAGAGGCACGGTGGTTTCACAGCACTCAAGGCGCCATAGACGATCAAGGGTCCTCTTCATCATGGACACCTCAGCAGAAGCGCATTCTCTATCGCAGCAAGCAGGTAGGTAACAGCGCGCTGTACGCTGAATCCGGATGACTGCCTTGTGCAGCTGATATGCGAAGGAGCGCATGACAAGCGCCTCTCTGCCAAGTGCCATGCATCTTTTTCAAGTTTATTAGGCAGGCTGTAACCAATGCTCTTTGAGCCATCAGTTTGTGTGCAAAATGATTTCTCAGAGAGGGTGGGTAGAGCTCGACCTTATCCTCAGCGCCTTCACCGACAAACACGTCGGGGCATTTTCCAATGAAGTGAGGTTTAGTTTTTGCTGCCACTGGCGATGTTGAGTACACGTTCTCTACGTTACGCGGTCTACCTGTTTATTGCTTTGTGTGCTGCACCAATCATAGCAGCAGACCCCAAAGCTTCCCGATGTGTGCTTTGCAATTGCAGGAGCTCGCAGAGCTCGAGAAGATACTTGATGAGGAAAACGTGGTGCTTTACGGGTGTCTTGTGGGAACCAACGGGCAATTAGAAGTGCCGCCCCCTCACTTGCAAGATTCGTTGCTCTTTCAACGGCTGAGGCAGTTTGCTTGCCACGAATACCCAAATCTTGTCGCATCACAGTTGAGGAAAGCGTCTGGCGATTCGTAAACTCCAACTCCAACGCTGTGCAGTGCCAGTTTGTTCTCTGAGTGCATGCATTTGTACTGGGGAAGGTAATAAGGGTTTTGTTCCCCGTGGCATGCAGAGCGCACAGGGGAGAAGCCGTCTGGTCAAGCAGTTTTTGTGCCATCCACGACATTATTGGACCTTTTGGTGCTGCATGGAGGCCGCTTCCAAGCAATCTTTTGCGTGGTTGTACGACTGAGAAAGAGGTCGACACAGTGGGTTCGATGCTACACGGAGGGGCGTCCCGTTAGAGGAGAAAAACATATCGGGCTGCTGTCCGTGCCGAGTTCTTCCTCAATAGCTTGCCATATCATGCGAGGCAGGTCATTCAAAACATCCAGCCTGAATGCCGTTTCCATACATTAATTGCTTCTTGCGCTGAATTTCGGTTGAGGCGTTAGGGCACCCCGAAACACTCCCGCATTGCCGCATCTCACGTGTAAGTTGCTCTTGTGCGGCGAAGTTTTATGAGTTGGCGTCTGGCAGCGAAGCAACACTACGCGGCTACAAGGAAAGGAATCACAGGAAGAAGTGAGTACCTCCAATTTGGGTGCAGATCTGGCCATAGTTCTTCAGCCCGTTGTATTCGAGTAGCAATTCTTTGGGAGACAATGGTGGACTGCAGTTGAGTGTGTTTTAGTTAGCGTAGTTCATTATGCTTTACCCAGAAAGAAGGCGCCGTTTGGACTCAGGTATCTCTGGCATGTCTACTAGAGACACACCATGAAAAGCTCCAGCTTCATCCGCGGAAGGAAGCGATAAAGGAATCGCCTTTGGAACAGAAAAGTCCTGGGTATCTGTGTGGAATACCAAAGTGTACATGTGCAAGGACCTCAGAAAATATGCACGTCGGAATACGTGTGAAATACGTGCATTCATATTCCTTACAGAACCCCTTTGCATTCCTGGTTGGGAAAGCGTATGTCATGGCGACAAGGAGACCATGAGGATCAAAATCCGTTAACAAAAAGACGGGCACGCGCGAATTGAAATGCTGATTGAGATGCCACACAACGCTTCTTGAGCATATATCTGAAAATGTGTACACTGTGCAATGAGGCTATGATCCAGAGGGATAGACTATGTCAACTATGTCAATGCAGAACACAGCAGGATCGGGGTTTTGGGCAAGCAGAAAAGTGGACAAGAGCAAATGAAATCCCGAGCATGAGAAAAAGTTACAGAAGATTCTTACCGGGAAACCCTTTCCCCGTTAAGAGGACACACGGGCCATTGCTGCTCAGCATGGGATGGATAGAATACAAGAAGTAATATACGAAGACAGCTCTCGCGCTGACAAACCGCTCAATGAATCTGGCGTCTAGAAGGGAGTAGAATACTGTTTCCTTTTCCACGACCTGCACGATGGAACCTGGATTAATGTAGCGTTTAATGCGGTCAACTCTAGTACCAGCACGAATTTGATATCTGGTCCTGCATGTACGACACTATCTAGTCCGATTGATGAAAGCAAATGGCCCCTGCTCTGTCTTGTCGTGATTTCCCCCATTGGCATCACTCTGGAGAGGTACCAATACCTCCAATGGATTTGCACAGTCGTATTCTTGGGGCCCTGTAGCTGTAGCAAGATTAATTTGAAGCACTGGCGTTATTCAAAGCAAAAGCCTCACAGTGCTTTTCTCTAATTACAATTGGTCCTCTTATGATGCACTTTGCTGTGCTGGTTATGCGTAGCCCCTCCCTGGGAACCTGTAGAAGTCGCGTAAGGGCTGAAACACTGCTTTCTATGACCCTCTGGCCCTTGGCGATGTTAATATTGGCATAGTAGAGCTGGCGTAGAGTGGCGTATCGGCATTCGGCATGCAACGAAACAATACTGCTCATAATTGCAAGCAGGTTGGCAATCCGTGCACTAGAGCTCACGGCCAATGGCTGAAGGAACTCAACCCTGGCAGCAGCAGATATTTCGTCATTCCCTCCATCCGAAGTCTGAAAAAGGTAGCATTTTCTCTTGTCGATAACTGCCATTATTGGGGTGGTACCTTTGGGGGCACGTCTGACAGACTACGCAGGAAAGACAAAGCTAGTAATTCGATATGAGGAATCGTGTTCGCGGCTGAGGCCGATCCGGCTCCATCCTCCTGAGACTCGCAGTATTGGTCCATAGTAAGAGGATTTGATGGATTACGTATGATGTTGAAGATCTGCAACAATCAGGAAATATTACCGACGGCTACGGTGTTTGCGTGTACACCTGAATCCAGTTTTAGATCTCACGCAAAATAGGCAAAGCAGGACTACCACATAGAACCTATTAATATAATAAGCATAATCAAGTAGAGTATGCCCGAGTGTGAGCGCACAATTGCTCGGTCACTGCGTGCAGTTCGTGTCGATACCCTGGTGGGCACCGCGGCCTGCCGGATGGGATGTGAATACCGCGGCATGTAAGGTGTGCCGTGCATATTGATGCTAGAAGCATGATGTCAGAAATCCGGGGAAACATGAAAGCTACTGTGACAGCCGGTTTCATTTGCACGCCGCAAGTGGCCTCCACGCCAAAGCCAGGATGCATGCATAAAGCTGCGGGAGTTGACATCCTCAGAACAATCCCATTCTTCAGGTCACATCCGAGCTCACGTTCAGCTTTGATAAAGCACATTCTCATCCGCCTACGTGAGGCGAGACTCCCTCCTTGCGGTCTTGACTACCTCCCCTGCATGCTCCTTTCCTGTAGAGAGTCCGAATTTGCGGCCGGCTGCTAAATGCTTCACTAAATATTTCACGGAAGTTTACGGCGGATGGGAGGTAGTTTTATGCCAGCAAATACTCTCATCTGCTAGGCCACCCTTTTTGCGTGTGGCAGCGCCTCCGAATCGTCCTACGAATGGGCGCTAGCCTAAGGTTTGCAGCTTGCAGGCTTAGTTGCTGCTAGAATACGCGTTTTCACTTTTTAAGCTAACGTATTAGCAGCCATCGGGGTGCTCCAAGGGTGTGTAGCTTTGTTCCCTCAGTTGGTGGTGTGCAAACAACCATCAGGTGCATGCCCGGCGCCCCATTCTTGCCACTCACGGTGAAAGCTGCTCGCCCAAAGTGCGAAATGTAAAGCACAGGAATAGAAGATGCAGGCGCGGCCACCGTTGCCCTGCAACGGCTCTACGGAGGACGGACTGCCTGATACCGATATCGATGACAGTAGCAGCAGCAGCAGCAGCAGCAGCGGGAACAGAGTAAATTCCACCGGGTTGCGCCCCCGGTCTGGTGGTCCTCAGAGCGCAGCAGCTGCTTCAAGTTGTTCCGCAGGGGTGAAACCCAGCGCTGCTGCTGCTGCCAGGGAAGCCCCAATGGCAACAGCTGCAGTGGATCAGGGGTCCCCCGAAGAGCCCCTTCAAGAAGCAATCCATGTGGGGGCTCGCCAACGCAGTGTACCGACGCCTCGAGACAGAGGCGAGCGACAGATCTCAGCAACAGAGGGCCGAGTTCACCATAGAGCACTGGCCGATGCGGTCCTCCGAGGGATTCCCGGTTCGGGTGCAGCCACACCCTTTGTATCCTCCGTAGACGCGAATCTTGTCTCTTCAACCTTGCGGACTCGCGCTGCGGAAATATGTTGTCAGCCTGGGATCTGCGAGCAGCTCTTTTTGATGCTGCGGTCCTCACAAGGGCAACTGGCTGCCCTCTGCTTGCAGCAGCTACCGCCCCCGAGTTTCATTGGCCTGAGAGACTCGACAGGACACACGCTGTTGCACTGGGCAGCGCTTTGCAACGAGCACACGGTCATGCTGCTCCTACTTAATGCGGGTGGGCCCCTTTTTCATCGCATTTTCTGCCTTCCCATTCTTCACTGCTATTGTGCAGCAGGCAGCAATTCGTCTTCACTCTGGTGGTGCACTGCTACGTCTGAGCCCAGCCGGTTCAAATCCGAATTTTTGAATAATTGCCACGTAAAGAGCGGCTACGGCAAATCTGGTGTATCGCTCCTGTCTCGGGTTGCTGCAGGCGCAGACGTGAACGCTCGTGCAACGGAAACGAAGCAAACCCCGCTAATGTGGGCTGTAACAAAGGACCATGCTGCAGCAGGGCGGTTGCTACTCTCCCACGGAGCAGCTCTCTTTGACTACCAACTGCAAAAGAGCAACTCATCGGGAGACTTTGAGGGCCAGATGGGAGGATATGCCAACGGCCTGCAGCCGCAGGTGATAGGCGACTACAGCCCTGAGCGGCTGGGGCAAAGCCCTTTGCTGCAGGATTCGAAGGGGGGCACCTGCTGCACGCTGGCAGCCCAGCACAACGCCCCAAAGTGCATTCTCCTACTTGCAAAGCTCCTCGGACCGGCTGCATTTGCGGTGCCCGATGCAAGCGGATCTACTCCTGCGCACTGGGCAGCCTTCAAGGTAGTCTTAACGACCTCAGACCCCGGCTTGTTTTTGCAACAGCGGTGTGCGCTGTAGAGCACCGCTCCGCCCGCTGCTGCAGAACGAAGCAAGACGGGCTCTCAAGAGCTGGAATGTGTTGATGTTGGTGGTGTCATTGCTGTTTTTGCTTGTACACCTAGGTGTTGTGAGGTGGTTTGGGTTGTATGCCTGGGTCCGATGGATATTTTGTTCTTGCTCTGGTGTTAGGGCCACACGTTGGTGCTGCGTCTGCTTTTGTACTTGGAAGCCGACGTTACGACTGTGGATTTGTTCGGCTGTCTGCCCATTCACCGCGCGGCCGAGGGCGGCCATTTGGAGGCCTTTCGGTGGGCCTGGGATGTGTTAATTCCAGCGGAAACCGCATGCAGGCGTGCTTCATTCTTTCAGGTGGACGCACGTGTGCAGTGGGGGGGAGGAGACGCATGCTCCCCCATATCCACGCGCCTGCTCTACTGTTTGTGCCTCGTACGCCAACTCCCGATCCTGCGCTCTCTGTACTCACAGCGTACTGTGTCTTGCCGATGGCCGCTCGGTTTTTCGCCTCAGAACTCTGGTAGAGGAAGGAGGTCAAGACCCCAACGAGCGCACCACCAAGACACGCCTTGTGAGGGCTTTGAAACCCTATTCCTGAAATTCCTTTTTATACCATTTTTCATGACCATCTACGCAGTTCTTTAGGCTTCCTTGACCAGAAGATGCATCAGAGCATAAAGACGCTGGTCAGCATACAGAGGGACAGAGAGAGAAGCTTGAAAAGAAGCTTTGGCTTGTGTCGTTCGAAAACGTGAGATCTCCCGGGCTGTCTTCCTTCCTCAGACACCACTGGACATCATGAATGCGGCAGGATGTGTAAATCCAGATATCGTGGCGTATCTCAAGAAGTCCCAGGAAAACCCCAGGCCCAGAGATGAAAAGTGCCACCGGGCATTGACGGAGGACGAAATGCGGGTGGGCACGCCTTAGAACTGCCCTTCTATAGAAGATGTGCGCCTATGCTTCTATTGGGATTTTATGCATTCAAATAGTGGCATAAATGAATATGCGTAGACACCAATACCTCTGGCCTTATATGTGAATACATGAGGATCCATCTCTGCACGTTTGCCACAAGCTGCGTCATGTGCGCTTCATCGCTAGGCGTTACCGTCATGTGCCATTTTCCTCATCATGTTTCGTTTCTCTTTCAATGCATTCCCTCAGCCGCCCCCCTCTTGCCGCCCGTCTCTCTTTTTTCGGCTCTTTACGGACTGCAGCGGCAGCTGGCACTTGAAGTTGGCTCCATTTCTTGCCCTTAGTGGACTTGCGCTGCTTCTGGTGGTCTATGCTCGATCGGTACGTTCCTAGGATTTATAATTCCCGCGTTTCTTTCCTTATCACCCTTTGTCCTTCCACACGCGGACAGCAGGCTGCACCATCGTGGAAGGGCAAGCATTTATATCCCTAGCATGGCTCTCTTTTCTCTACTTAAAATAGCGATGCAAAACCTTCTCTGCTCTTCTTTGCTAGTGTCACTGGCTGCACACTTCTACACGGGGTGCCGGTATACTCAGTGTTTGGCACTTCCTTATATTTTGCCTCTGCCTCCTCGAATACTGTCCTTGGGTGATTCCCGCCAGGAACCTATGCACTTCCGGAATGCATGTTTTTATGTATTTTATGAGTTCTTGTTCTAAGGGGGCTATCAGAATCGGGGCTGTAACTGCGCAGTAGGTACATGGGGGTCTAGACGCAGGCTGTCTATATCACGGTAGTCCTTCCCACATGCTGTCGGCCCCACATTATTTGCTGTCCTACTCAGTTTGATCCTTTGTACCTACCAGCAACACCCGCAAGTGTTGCAGCCGTAGGGCACGCTGCCGGTGCCTGGGCAGGTGGCTGGTTCGTATGGCTCTGTGTCCTGGGGAAGATCGGGGTCTACACAGGGCTGCTGCTGGCGCTTGTTTTGATATGCTCCAACCCCGGCATCATACCAAAACGCCCAAAAGGAGACTCTTCTGTCGAAGAAATCATGGAAGTGAGGCAATGGCATGCATTTTATCCATCAGCTTTGCGTATTATCCTGCAGAGCCGACAATACGAGGCTCTCAGGCAGTACAGGCTCTTGCGTTTTGTGCGTGTACAAATGCTACCAAATACATGGGAATGTCTTACAATTTTCGGGCTGTGAGAGAAGTGTCTGTTAATCCTGGATTCTGCTTGCTGCCTTATCGTTCGCACGGAGATATCCTAGAGCAGCACCGCTAAACTCTCTCTGGATGTTCTTTGTGTTGCTTTTGCTTCATTTGGGCTAAAAGTGTTGCGCTGTTGAGCTCGCTAAGATTGTTGCTACCATCTTATTTCGCTTTTTGTGAGCAGTTGCTGGCGGCGCCTGAAACACCCACTGAAACAGTGGAGCAAATTGAAATGCAAAGGCTATGCTACACCTGCTGGGTATACCGGCCCATTCGCACGAAACATTGCAGGTACACCCTTCATGGGGTATCTTCCTGTCTACTAGCCTCGTTTTTACTTCCTGCAGCCTCTTTAGTGTTGCGTTTTACTACCTTGTTCTCTTGCCCTCGCTGCCAGCACCTTCCAATGGTGCACAGATTTCAGTTAATTCCTGAATACTAC